TAATAATATAATTCTAAAATCCATGAAAATGCATGCCGACACCTGTCTATCCTGTTGAACATCTTAGCGAGGAAGTACATATATTTTCATTATTTTATATATTTGTCGGTGATTTATCGGTGTCTGAATAAAGACGTGCCATACAGAATACACCCAACTAACTAACTACGTCCTGAGTCATTCATTTTGATATTAAACTATTATTTCCACCACATTTCGCCTGCTGTTCATGCAACTTGCGCCAACTGGCTTAACTGGTTTTTGACCAAAATTTCTATACTTATCATTATTTGCCATAATTATCATCATCCAACGCCTCATCAGACACCAACAGAGAGGAAAAGCAAATAAGCTACAAAAACGGGCAATAAAAGCAGTCGAACCCAGTACTAGCTACGATTTTAGAAATTATTTGTACGCCCAAGCACCGAAAAAAAGCGAAACCTCTAGTGCATGCTGCGGAGAAGTGGAGAAAAAAATCAATCACTTTCACTGCCGGCCAAGAGAGTTTGTCATAGTCAAGTTTCTGGCCGGGTCTAGTCCGGGGTCTCTCCCTCCCATCTTCGCATTGCCTCCGACAATTTTTATTACTGCTTTTCACCCATTTACGCCAAGCCGATCGCTACACGTACCGAAAACAGCAATAGCAACCAGCAAAGCGAAGAAAAAGGTTTAGCTTAGCCAACAACGAAACTCGTTTCGCTTTTTGCAAATGCAATAAGATACAAAGTTTGGGGCACGAACAAAAAATATATAAACCAGCAGACTCAATGCTCTTTCGGTTGCCTGACTGACTAGTTATAAGTATTTCGGTCAAATACGATTTGATAACTTGTCAGCTGTTTCGCGAAAAGAAAGTTAATTCAGTGGCAAATATATCTGTGTATTTGAATATAATTAATAAAATATTCTCCTTGTACTACTAATTGAAAAGGAAATTCAAACTATTTTGTAATTAATATTATTATCATAAGCCTCAAGACCTTTATAAGGAAATCCATACACCCGCATTGGGCATACAAAGTATTCTACTTCAACGTTCAGTGAACTCACGATCGCTCTCTTTCGCTCCAACTGCTCCGTCTCTTTCTATCGCCATCCGAGTGCTGACTTTTTTTGTCAAAACTGTCAAGTCAAAAGTTCAAAACGAGAAAAATGTTAAACGGCCCAGAATGAGGTCTATGGCGCAATAGGCTTCCGAGAACCCCGAGTTTTACAGCAGCCCAAAACTGCGGGGTCTTGACGTCTAGCGGCTTCTTCTTCCGTCTCTTTCTCATTGTTTGTTGCCTGCTTGCCTCTTCTTGGCCCGCTTTAAAACGCAGCTCAGAAAAGTTTTCGAGTTAATGGCCACTTTGCTCATTATAAGCCAACTAAAACTGACTGGGCCCAAACTCTTTGTGGTTTCTGCGGTTCTTTCGGTTCTTTTAGCAGATGTTGGATGCTCCTCTCTTTGTAGGAGGCATTCCGCCTTCTTTCAAACATTGCGGCCTGTGGGCGCTTTCAATGCTCACAAATTTTAATCTACTTGATGCCAAAAGCCTCTCAAAGTTAGCGGCCGCAAAACCCTAGCGCGCCCGGAAAATTAAATGAAAAACTAACGGGAAAGGCTTAACCAGCAGAGTGGAGAAATTCAATAAAGCGGGACTTTAAATTTTACAAAATCTACCAGAAATGTATGCACATAAATAGGTTATTTAAATTAGAATAAAAACAATAAATATAAAAATTTTATAAAAAAAAAATTACCACTACACATTAAAAAAAAAAAATAATAAAATATGAATAAATAAAAGTGCATATTCCCCTATCAATTTGACATTCATCCATTCACAATGCTCAATGAAAAGAATACCAATAAATTTTAAAACAAATGTCTGACTCATGGATTCATGGCAAAGTACGAACAAAAAACCTCCTCCCCCATTTGGTAATACATTTCATTAGCCACATTCTCTTCCTTATCGCACCTTTGTGGCGGGAAAGAGACCATGAAAAATCACATAAAAATAATGTGTGATTTATAAAATAAATGGTCATTCGGCATTAAACTCAAGAGCCCGTCCAGCGGTGGCGTATTCGGGATAATTGTGGGAAAGGTTCGGCTAATTTCCCCCAAAAGTTCTGGGCACACCCAGCTTTAGACCCCGCCAATCGACAATTAGAAGCCAAGTTAGCGGCCGCTTAGTGACTCACCAAACATGGCTTTTTGCCCCACAATGCGCGCACTGACCCAAATTGTGGCTAAGTGTGTGCCACGGGGAAGTTGGCTGGGATGATGTTGGCCCGCAGAAAACATAAATCCAAGTGCTGGTCAACGTTTCCGGAATTTTGATGCATTTTCACTGGGGCTAGCGGGGCAAGACTTGGCGTTAATAGAGTGTGAAAGAATTTTTACTGCAATCCACGAAGAGGAATACAAACAAGTGAGTGAAAGACGAAACTTAAGTGCCCTTCGCAGAACCTAATTTCATGAGGTAATTTCCTCTTTGGAATGGAGCTTTAAAAACCGTATGATGAAAACTCAACCAATTGAAAAATAAATAGTAATCAAAATTAAAATAGAAATTTATTTTATAAATTCAACAAATTATAACAAATATTAAAGTGAGTTTTATACATTGGAAGCTGAGGTTATGATACATACGAATATGTTGCAATTTTAGAAGCGTAGAAAAAAGATAAGAAGCACAACTGAACTAAGAAAACAAAGATAGCAGGCTAAAAGAGAAATTCCGAAAGCCATTCTCAAGAGTTTGTTAATTTACTGGTCCAACTTCCGGGTGGCAGTCTGCAACGGAGTCTAAACTTAGTACGTTCTGCTCATGATTTAGTGGGTTAATTGTTTTCATACTTTCTGCCGGAAAGACAATTGGAGAGGAGGTAAAGACGGCGGACCACTTCAATGCCAGTAAATATCCATTAAAAGACATAACACATTTCTTTTGACATTTATCCGCCACAGAGAAAATGCTATAAATGACATTTTCCACTCAGCTATTTTATCTCTATCAATTCGATTATTTATTGAACCGAAATCTGTGCACAAATGTCAGTCTCGTTCCCATTGATTGAATTTGTTTTTGGGAAATCTTTTGCATAACATTGACACAACTGAGCCAACACAAAAGCCGAATCTAATACATATCCACAATGTCCTTACAGACAGGAGAGATCGAAGCAGAAGCGGTTCCGAATGTAATCCAAACCACAAAGGCAAGTGGAAGAGGGTTGGGGCGGCCAAGAAACCAGAACCCCACATCAATCAAATACATTTTCGTTTTCTGTTTACTTTTTGCTGGTTTGTTTAGCTAGAGATTGCTGTACACTAATTTTATCGATTTCTGCTGTTGTTGGCCGGCTTACATTTTAAATGGGAAATTATGTAAATGAAACTTTTGTTTGCGGCATTTGGGGAATGCCTGAAACAGATTCGATTTTGATTGTATTGCCAAAGGATTTGCCCTGTTGAAAGTGAGTTATGCCATAGCCGAAAGTAAATAACTGCAAATGGATTCTAAAGTATGTTTGACTTTATTTGATTAAATTTTTAGGTGATTTGAGGTCCCTTCTCGGAAAAAATTATACCTGATTCATAGATCTAATTATAACGTTATCAAGGAGTTTAATAATTTACAAACAAAAAATACAACTTGGTAGCCCAGACATTATTATTTTAAAAGATAAGCACAAAGTTATAAATGGTGTGCGATAACTTGGTATTAACGACCAATAAACTTCTGTAAAATTGGTATGCCCTGTAAGAATACTAAAAGGGGATTTATTATCTGAAGTTGAAACTAAAAGCACAAAACAAATATATGGCAATTTAAAATCATTTTAAAGTGGAAATGGAAGCCAAATCGGGTTGAGCTTCAGCACTCACAATAGCGCAGTTCCGCTGATAACGCAATTAACGTCATAAAGTAGCTCTAACTACAATATTATAATCTTCCAAACCTCCAAGAGTGTACACACTGAGTACTACACATAGTTTCATATCATTATCTTGTTTAAAAAGTTTGGAAACCCCAACAAGTAATTATAGTAATAAACCAGAACGATAATGTGTTTGTGCTCGGTAAGTAAATCAGTGATATGACAGACCGCTAAAATTCTATCGATTGGGAAATATATAAATTGAAAAAGACATCATTAATTAAAGCTAATTATCGAGACCCCTCATTAAATTTGAATTCTCCGAGATTGATTACTTTTGGTACACATCAGTATCAGGCACAAAGACTGGGAATTTTAAATAAGCAACGTTTTGATATGCACAAATCATTTGATAAGCTCAATTAGTTGAACAACCGAGGAAGTTAATGTGGCAAAACTAAGAAAATAATAGAGTATTTATTCCTCAAAACTTATCACAAAAAGGGGCCTTGGCCTGCTCTGAGATAAAAAGTAGATGGAAAGAGTAACATTGAGAAATTGTTGAGGCAATTGAATAAATGAATGACTGACGGACTGTGGGTGGAGAAACTGTAACAAGGCGTTAACCATTTAAATTTATGCGATAAACATGCGAACTGGAAAAAATGTATATTTCTGCCATATCAGTGAAGTAAAGTCATTAACATTATATCCTATTTTGTTTGCACTTCTTTTTGATAACCTTGTAAAACGGATAAAAAGATGTTTTCGTTTAAAAAAAATTAAAAGAAGCAAATAAAATAATATGTAAAACTTGAGCAAAAATTACTTGAAAATCAGTACTTTATGATTCAGGAAATAAGAATTAGTGAGTAAAGTTGTTTTTGCAAAATAAGTCAAATTTTGTTGTGCTAAATGGAGGATAGCAAAAATATTTAGCAAATGTATCACGCTGAGTTTGTTTAGTTTATCTGCAGCACAGTAAAACGAAGTGAAGATGGATTTGCGAGCAAACAAATTCGCTGCAGCACACAACTCAATATTTTTCCGGTTAACGATTGCCCACAGGCCCCCGCACAAACATATCGCTTTCACTTTCTCCCCGGATATGCCAGCCCACTCACCTTGGGTCCTCCAGCAGCTTCTCGGCCTGGGCGAGTCGCAGGCGGACGGTCTTCATGCTCTGGATGGGGAAGAGGCGGCAGAAGCGCGTGAGGAACGCAGGCCGCCAGCAGAAGCGCGGGAAGTCCCGGCAGACGTCCCACAGGCGGGTGTTGTGCTCGAACAGATAGGTGTGCGTCTTGCCAAAGTTCAGGTAGTCCACCATGTCGGAGTAGTCGCAGTTGAGCAGGTTCTTCAGGTTCTGCACGGCCAGCTCCTGGTCGTCGGGGTCGCGGATCTGCTTGATGCCGAAGTCGAGCAGCGGCTCGTAGTGGTAGAAGTTGCCGGGAATCGAGTTGAGGATGTCGCCCAGGAAGGTGGAGCCGGAGCGCCACGAGGTGACCACCACACTGCGCACCGGAGTGCCGTTCGTCTCCGGCGTCATGTCCGCCAGTCGCTCGGCTCCGCCGCGCGGATACTCGAAGTTCTCCATTTCGGCCAGGATGCGCGACCGTTGAGCCGACAGGACATCCACTATAGTAGCTGTCAGGTTGTAGACGGTTGTGGACTGCTGCTGCTGCTGCTGCAGTTGCTGCTGGAAGCGGTCGTAGAAGGCGCTGCGCGCCAGCGAATTGGAAGGACCTCCATCCACGGACGCGCCCACTCCGCCGCCCGCCCCCGCCCCCTGATCCCGGCCAGCCGCCTGGTTGAACGGGGTGGTCAGCGGACGGTGCTGGGTGGTGGCGATCAGCAGCAGGATGCACAGGCTGCTCACGCCGCAGATGCCGATCAGATTGGCCCTGCGCGACATCCGGCTGCGGCGCCGCTTCCCGTTCAAGCTGAGCCGCTGCTTAGCGCGTGTCCTGCCGGGATCGACGTTCGACGGGTCCTGCTGGCCGAGCAGGGAGCACGCCTCCAGGTCCGGTTGCTCCACGTCCAGGTGCTCCTCCGCCGCGTCCCCCTTGCTCATTGGTCACTGGCTGATGGCTGGAGGCTGATTTCTGGCTCTGTGGCTCGCTCCTCCTCCTCCTCCTGCGTAATCTCTGTTGGGCTATGCTCGCACTCGCTCCCACACGCACATAGTTGTCACCGCGCCCTCAACTCGAGCGCATTGCAGATCGCTGCGGAAGTCGCGTCGTATTTTATCTTTGTTTTCCCGACCCTTTATCGAAATTTTCCGCGACGCGAACCGATGCGAGCAAAACGATTGACAACAACAAAGTGACCGTTGCTGGAACGTCGAGACATGCCACGGAATCGCACAAAGGAGGTGCCATGATACACCCTAAATAATCCGGAAAAAGACAGCCCCACTGTCGCAAGTCGTGGTGGAGAACTTTGACAGACCCCCAGCGTGGACCCGAACCATTTCAGAGGAGAGTACCCTCTATATCAAATCGCTTATGGGGAACTCCCCCTTAAAAGTACGTTTCTGAGGTATAAAGGATAATGCGAAATACAACATAATTATCAAAATCAGGGACAGCAAAGAACTGTTCATTTTTCTTACAGAAAAAATCATGCACATATAAACGCCTATCAAAATTTGTAAATACACCAATATTTTAGTTCGCCATTAAATTTTACATATCCGCAGTGATTTTTATTTTTTGATTTTTATAATAAAACTAAAAAAAACTTATTTGTTGAATTTTATATACTTATAATTTCTTAAAAATTTGTTTACCCATTAAATCGCCACAAATTAATTTTGAGTTTTATTTTTGATCGTGAATTTTGTACCTCGATAGGAGGTGTTTTTGCCTAAAATACTATTGCCTAAAGAAATAAAAATAGAAATTTTATTTTTAAGCACCCTGGACGGGAATTCCCCTTTAATAATTTTTATCAAAATAGTCTTTTGGCTTTATTTACTGGTTGTTTAGACTGATATTTCTACCGAAAAAACCGCTATAATTACACACCCGTCACTTTTACTGTGACCACAAATGCTTAAGCCTTGCCCATGTTCGGCTCGAATGACTCCGGAGAAAAGTGCTCAAAGTCTTGGATCGAGCGATAGCCCCACAAGTCCATTGCCTCGCTGCATACATCCTGAACAGCCTTTATATCGTCCACCTTCATTTTGCTCATCCACTCGTTGGCGGGCTGGTTGGAATACCTCCAGCGAAGGTCCAATCCGAAAGACTCGGCGCTATGAACATTCCGCGGATGCACTCCTCGAGTAATTGCACTGGGCCGCCTCAGGGGCAAGCCAAAGAAATCGAATACCAGCTTGATACTCTCCTCGGGCTGCAGGAGCAAGTCCTCATAACGTATAATGCTGTGGGACATACGATATTCAGTTATTTTTTATTTATTTTATAAGCCATCCCAACGCTACAAGCTTGGAGTTTATTATTAATGCGCTAGTCACAAAAAATCAATTAAAGTAGGGGAGAGGTCTGTAGGTTGAGCCACCTTTTGTTTTTAGTCTCCCATTTGGACATTCGCTTTTGAAACTTCACGTGTTAGGTACCGATCGAAAGCTTAGTCTTTTAGCTGTAAAATAAAGCAACAAAAAAATTTTTTTCCCCTTGGGAAAACTAAAAAATAATTTTTTTTGAAAAGTGCCAAAAAATTACAATTTGAAAAAGAGGTCTGTAGGTTGAGCCACTTTTTAAAGTCAATACTACTCACACAAAAAGTACTTCAAACTATAAGGAACTATTTATTTATGTTAATTTAATCAATTTTAGTTCGTCCTAAATTATTTCCCATCCATTTTTTAAGAACTTCGACCAAATAACAATTAAAATCAAAAGGCTCTTTGAACATTCACTTTTCCCCTAATATCAAAGAAATGTGCTAGGCAGAAAGCGACCTCTGTTGGCCTAAGGCCTTTTTGTATGAAAAACGGGTGTCTCAACTTACACAAAATGGGATGTTTCGGGAAAAAATTAATAACTTTTGTTCTGACTGTCACATTAAGCTGATTCTTTTTTTAATTAGTTAACAGTTAATATACTAATGTTTTAAATCTCTTACCAAGTTAATTTAAGGACGTTATTAATTTTTAATAGATTTTTAAAAAAAGTGGACAAAAACTTTTTTGGTGCAAAATGGTACACGACTCTCACAGCTTAAATCTGGCTAGAGCCTGGCTTATAATGTTTTCCCCAAAAGTTTAGTTACTGAAAAGGACTACAAAAAAAAAAATAAAAAAAATTTTTTTAGTGGAAAAGTTTTGAGAAAATTGAGTGTCTCAACTTACAGACCGTCTCAACCTACAGACCTCTCCCCTAAAGATATTTTGACTTATTCTCTAATACAGCACTTATATTTCATAATTAGGTCGCTTTAAATTGATTAGTTTTGATTACTATAAAATAACTATAAAAAAAATTTTTTTATCGCAAGAGGTAAATTGCCGAACGTTCAAGAAATTGATACTATCCCTCTCAGGATAGTTATTTTACCATTTTTTCCAAGATGATAAATAATAACGAAATTACTAACCTGAAACGCTGTGGATAAGATTGGGTTAGCTTCTCAACCATCTGATAATCACCGACCATATCGTTGCAGAGGGCCTTCGCCTCGCAATTCTGTGCTGTCTCGCACCATTTGTTATTTATTTGAGAGTACACAGTGCTCCTAGGATCACGGACGATTAGGAGCATTCTCAGATTTAGCCTACAAAAATAGTTAAAGGTAAAGCCTGGTAATCAATAGTAAAATTAGACTTCACCCTTCGCGTTCTAAGAGGGTGGCCAGAAAGTTCAGACGCAAGTTGTACACGGCCATGTTGATAAATGGATGCAGCTTGCAAATGGCGGCCATTGTCTCCGGATTCCAGCAGATCTCCTGGCTGTACGTCTGGCAGATTTTTGCCTGGGCTCCGTAAAAGCGGCGGAAGACCGTCGATCGCTTTCCCCACCGAATCATTTCCGCAGATTTATTGTAGTTGCAGTGGTACAACGCCTCCAGCTCCGCCAAGGCTCGGTCGTGATCCTGTTCCGCATTTGAGCGGCTCTCGTGGGCAATCAAAGGAGCGTAGTGTTGGTAACAACCGGGCTGGTGGGCCAGATTGTCCAGCAGGGTCAGGGCGCCGGAGCCCTTGAACGTGACCAGCATGGAGCGGATCGGCTGACCGCCCGTTTCCAGGGTGAAATTACTCAGGTCGCCCAAGTGATGCGTCTTGTAGGCCACTACTGATCGCTGCAGGGTCACCGGATCCGGCATCAGGATGGGCAAAAGGAAGAATACGAACAGGACATAGGTCGCATAGACGGCCACGCAAACGCCGGTGAATTTTGTAGAACGTGAAACATGCATTGTTTTAGATTTTAAATTTGTTTCCTAAACCCCACACTTGCAATTTTTAAATGAGTCTGAATGGTCGTAGAATTTTCGTCTGACAGAAGGGGCTTTGCCTCTATGAAGGAAGAAACAACCAATATAAGATCCCCAAAAAGACTTTGATGTTTATCCTGTAACATGCTACCTTTATTGGCATATCTTATATATTTTATATACCTTTAATAGTTAATAATAAATTGTTATTTATCAGTTATTAAAATACTAATATTGCTACATTGTAATACGTAAATATTTCGAATTTCAATTTGTTAATATATTTTTGTATAAGATCCACTATGCTGCTGAAAATCGATAAACTTTTGAAAAAATAAAAGAGTTTCGGACTAGGCAACTGCAAAAATCTCAAAATTTTGAATGAGTATTACCTATATTGTAAAATAAGAACTAATGCCGATTAATAGTTAGCAGCATATTAAATCTCGTGTAATTTGTTTAGATTTCTGGCACTAACATTGAACCTGTATTATACTTCAATACGTATATATGTTGGTATATCTGTTGTTAAGTCTGTTCATTTATTAATCAAGGCAAGGGTTTCTGATGAGGATGAAGGCGTGTAAAGGAGCTTTAATCCTTACAACCGTTTTATCTGCGAGTTAAGCTCATAGAGATATGGCCAGCAAAAGCAGTTTAAGAAGTTATTCTTAGATTACTTGGAATATTATTGAAGATATAAACTTATAATTGTACTCTGAACATAGCTTACTGATGATCTGATAATGGGAATTAGTCGCAAAAGTAAATATATCTTAGTTTATAAAAAGATATACAATATTTATGAATCTCGAAATACGTATATCAATCCGTTATGGTTTTTGCTTACTTATAAAAGAAGAACTAAGGAACCGGTTGGTAGGTGGGCCCCAAATATAAACTAGGAATGCTTTTCATATTTGAGAAACGGTCTCTACCAACATTAAAGTACTTGCGCATACTTGAAAATTAATACTAAATATTTAATACCATTACTGTCCCTCGAATGTCTTCGTTTATTACTTAATCGCTGTTTCCCTCGGTCTCATCGTCCAGCAGCAAGCTTGTCGAACCATAGCTACGGAGTCTGAAATTTAAAAAAAATATAAATAAGACTCTTATTTTGCAGGAAAACTTTTTAAACAAAATGGTTACTGAAGTAATACAAGTATAACACATTGCAGGATCATAGTTTAACTAGAATAAAATAAAAATATAATTAAGTAAAATGTTTGGGCCACAAAAATCGTAGATTTTTTAAACAAATATTTCTTTATGAATTAATGGTAAAAATTCTTATTAACAATGAAATATATCGGCTAATTTTGTAAATTACATCACTTATTAAGGGCAGTTAGTATATTATGTCTACATAAGTACTTACTAAAGGTGGAATAAAATTAAAAGAATGAAATTGGTACACTGTCATTGTCTGAAACAACTCGTGTATTAATCATTTCACCTCCTCCAGTCTCACCTCATCGTCGGACACTTTGAGACCGTCTAGATTAATGCTGTTCCTGGCATAGCCCGCTCCTGCAGATTGCTCCTTCTCATACAGCTGCCGGTTCAGCTCATCCTTGCTGGAAGCGGAGCTGCTTCCTCCGTTGTTCATTCCCTTCAACGGCAGGGCGAGATTCGCCCGACTGGCATTGCTGCCAGCACTTCCATATCGCCCATTTCCGGATCGCTGTCTCTGATGATGGTGATGGTGCTGTCCGTGGGGATTATCGAACTTCTGCTTGGCCCGCTCAAACTCCAAGTTCCGGGACTTTGACTCAAAAATGTTTTCCTCGAGATGTGTGGGCTTGGCATCAAAGAAGGCCGCTGCTGCAGCTGCCGCCGCCGCCGCAGATGCCGCTGCACTGCTCTGCTGCTGCTGGAGCAGCGTCCGCTCAGTGTGACTGGATCTCTTGACAGAAGCTGCATGATGAGCTGCTGCATCGCTGCCGTTGTGGGAACTCCTCAAGCACGCCTGCGAATCATCGAAGATCTGGCGAAGATCGTTGATGTTTGGCAGACAATCGTTGGGCAGCTCCACGGCAATCTTGTTCCTCAACTGCACCCCGCCCATTCCCCGCAGCTGGGGACTCGGGGCACGTCTTGTTTTAGTCGTTTAGGAGTGGGTTAGGAGTTAGGTTGTTAGCCAAGCCAGCACCATTAAGAGGTTAGTTGTTATTAGAGTTAGTTAAAGGACTTATCGGTATGTAAAAATATATATTTTGGCTGCTCTTACCTGTTCTGTAGGTGCTGTATCTGCACCTGTAGCCCCTCAGTCTGACCCACCAGCTCATCGTTGGAGCGCTGCAATCGGCGCACTTGGTTCACTGCCGAATCCAATTCGTCCTCAGCGCCAGCTAGTTCCCGTTTTAGCTCCTCCACACGCTGGCGAAGACGCTTCACCTGAAAGGAAAAAGGAAGAGTTAAAAAATTAAATGAATTTAATTCATTTAAGACTATGACTATAGATAGGTAAGTATAAGGAAATTACAAAAAGGTGATTATGAAGTAGAAGTTATCTACAAAGAAGCTGAAATAATGTTTTTTTTAATTCTTTTATTACACCTATTAAAAATGTGTATTACTTGTACAATAAATTTTCATATTTCCCCAAAAGTTAGCCCTTATTTTTTCATTTTAAAATTTTTCGGAAATGTACTTTACAAATTTTAAGTAGATACAAATATATACTTAAATATCGTAAATACTCAGCTAGTTTAAAAACATAAATGAAGGAACTATCCCTTAACTTTAATGCATTTATTTCTCTAGTACTTTTAATTTAATTTGAATAAACGTATTAAATAAGCGATTCCCCAAGAATCACATCATATCATATCTTCTAAAAACATAAATCACATTAAATGCAAGGGGCGTGTCTTGCAGTCCTCCAAACCGACTGATAGGCACATGACCCCCGCCAAGTGGTGATAACGCTTGAGATTGGAAAAGTTTCCTCCCAGTCGCTTCACTCTTGGTTTCAATAGTCAAGTCAAAAATAAGTGCGATAATGCGAAAAATTTAGAACCCGCAGATTAAGATCGGGCATAACAACAATATTATTTTTTCGGGGTAAACAAAGTGTGGCGAAGAGAAGACAAGAGAAGAGACCGCGAGAAGAACTGAACGGGCAGCGGACGACAAAAGCTCTCGCTGTAGATTGGAGCTTTCTTCATTCTCTCGCCGAACGTAGAGTAGAGCAGCTGTTCTCTGGAGAACCGGCTGATTGTTTCCAAGCGACCACACAGAACCAAATAGGAATTATGATTGCGCAAAGTGTAATCAGCAAACTGAGGCCCTGTGCCCGCCGTTTGGCCAGCTCGAGCTCCAAAGCCGCAGCTCCCAAGTTCAACTGGCAAGATCCGCTGAACCTGGAGAGCCAGCTGACCGAGGAGGAGGTGGCCATTCGGGACGCCTTCCGCGGCTACTGCCAGGCGGAATTGCTGCCGCGCGTCAAGCTGGCCAACCGCCTGGAGACGTTCGACAAGAAGATCATGGAGGAGATCGGCAGCCTGGGAGTCCTGGGCTGCACCATCAAGGGCTACGGCTGCGCCGGGGTCTCCAGCGTTGCCTACGGACTGCTGACCCGCGAGGTGGAGCGCGTGGACTCCGCCTATCGGTCCGCCGTGAGCGTCCAGAGTTCGCTGGCCATGGGCGCGATCTACGATTTCGGCTCCGAGGAGCAGAAGCAGCGCTATTTGCCCAGCATGGCGGAAGGCAAGCTAATTGGTGAGTCCTAAATGGTCAACCTAATCTCTTTTTGTGAGGATTATGTAAGGACACTAGAGCTTGAAAATTATCGATGTCAGTATCGATATTATCGATACTTTTGATATTTTTCAGTAATATTTTTCTAATAATATTATGCAAGTGTATAATAATAATACGTGGTATTAACAGAATTATACAATTTTTTTGAATTTTTGTTTGCTTTTCTTGAAAACATCGATATTATCGATACGATAATGATAAAATATCTAAAATATCGATACTGTCATTTATCGATAATTTTTAAGTACTAAAGGACATTGTGACAAACGGCTTCCCAACATGAAGTAGTTGGCAGAATTTCTTGTACTTTTCAATCAGAGTCTCTTCTTTTCATACAGGTGCCTTTGGCCTGACCGAGCCCAACCACGGCAGTGATCCCGCCGGCATGGAGACCCGTGCCAAGTACGACAGCAAGAGCAAGACCTACATTCTGAACGGATCCAAGACCTGGATTACGAGTGCGCCCATTGCCGACGTCATAGTGGTTTGGGCCAAGTGCGAGGATGGCAAGGTTCGTGGCTTCCTGGTGGACCGCAAGATATCCGGCCAGGGCCTGGAGACGCCCAAAATCGAGGGAAAGTTCTCGCTGCGCGCCTCGCCCACGGGCATGATCCTGCTGGACGATGTCCGAGTGCCGGAGGAGCAGCTGCTCCCCAATGTGGCGGGCTTCACGGGACCCTTCACCTGCCTGAACAATGCCCGCTACGGAATCGCCTGGGGCGCCCTGGGAGCAGCCGAGACGTGTGTGGAGATTGCCCGTCAGTATACACTCGATCGCAAGCAGTTCGGTCGCCCCTTGGCCGCCAATCAGTTGATCCAGAAGAAGCTGGCCGATGCCACCACGGAGATTGCCTTGGGTCTGCAGGCTTGTCTGCACTTGGGTCGCCTCAAGGACCAGAAGCTGCACACGCCCGAGATGATTTCACTTTTGAAACGTAATAACACGGGCAAATCCCTGGATATTGCGCGCCAAATGAGGGATGTGCTGGGCGGCAATGGCATCAGCGACGAATATCATGTAATCAGGCATGTGATGAACTTGGAGTCGGTTAACACGTACGAGGGCACGCACGATATTCACGCCTTGATCCTGGGACGAGCCATCACAGGACTGCCTGCATTTGCTAACTAATTCCCCTGTATCCAGGAACTGCATTTACTAAATCCTTTTATGTTCGAGTGTCAATGTGAATAAATGTTAATCAAATCGAATGAGGTGCGAAGAAGGCTGCTACATCTCAAAGTACTCACTTATTTCCCCTCGACTGATAAGCTGATATGCGTAATCTGATCCATATATCATCCGATAAGAGTTTCGGGTGTGGATTTACTTATGAGTAAATCATCATGAGTGAGTGAACAAAAAAGAGTTGCTCACTAAACTGAGTGAGTGAACATGTTCCTTTGAACTTGTTCTTTATTGTTCACTTGTTCATTTTTGCTCACTTGTTCAGTTTGGCTCTCTTACTTGATCTTTTTAGTTCACTTGCTCAGTTGCTCTCTAGCTGTTTCTGGCGCAAAAAGTATTTTTTTTTCACTTTTAGGATGCATTTTTCATACGATTTTACAGACAATGAGCTGTTTTCTCAGAGCCAGTGAAAAAGTTAAGGACAGAAGAAGTGAGCAAGTGAACAAGTGAACAAGTGAACAAGTGAACAAGTGAGCAAGTGAACAGGTGAACAAGTGAGCAAGTGAACAAGTAAACAAGTGAGCAAACTGAGTGAGTTGACTCATTGGGAAAAAAAGAACAAGTGAATATGTTCGCACAAATGAGCAGTTTTTACCCAACACTAGATTTACTTACCTCCGCCTCGTACTGCTCGGCTCGGCGCACGGCGTGACCCAACTCCGTGTTCGTTTCGGCCAGCAGCTTCTTGAGCTTGGCGTGCGACATCTTCACCTCGCTGATCTCCTTGTTGCGCTCGGAAAGCTCCTGCTGCAGGGCCCGCACCTCCACGTCATTGGCCTGCATGGGTCGGCACTTGCGGTCGGAACGCTCTTGGTAATCCCGCAGCTCGGCCCGCAGCTTCTTGTTGTCCCGCTCCATGGCCAGTTTCTCGGACTCCAGTCGCTCGCGCTTGCCCCATTCGGAGGCGTTCTCCGCCTGAAGGTGCTCCAGCTCAGTGCGAAGTTCGGTGAGGCTATAGCGAGGCCATAGTTAGACTCTGGTCAGCATATAAAAAGAGATCTGCTGCTTACCGACGCTCGAGATTCTCACGGGCGGCAATCTCCTCCTGCAGCGAGTTGTTAACGATGCGCATCTCAGCACGATGCTGCTCCTGAAGCGTTAGAAGTTCGCGCACTGCCTCCTGCTTGGCCGAGCGCATCTCCTCCTGGCGACCGCGCACATCCTGGATCTCCAGCGTCAGCTTCTCGATGCTCTTGTGCAGCTCCAGCTTCTCACTACGAAAAAAGGGATTGTTTTAGAAAATATTGGTTTTCAGGAGATCGATTTTACTTACTCCCTTTCCGCCTGAAGGGTTTTCTGTGCCTCGTCCAGCCGCAACTGCAGCATGGATATTTTCTGCATCAAGTAGTCCTCGTCGAAGTCGTCCTTGGAGAGCTGCTGAATAAGGCGCTTCTCCTCGGCAGCCGCCGCCTCGTCCAACTCGGTAAGGTGCTTGGGCATGGCGCCCTTCAGGGCGAACTCCTCGATGTCCAGGTCCTTGACATCGTTGGGCAACTTGGTGACCAGGCCGTCCTCGCTGTTCACATTCTTCAGGCCATCCGAGGAGATGTCCGGCGAGCAGTTGGCGTCCCGGCCGTTGGCCTCCGCATCCTCGCTGGTGTCCGCGCGATGGAACTGGCCGGCGTGCTTCATCATCAGCGAGTGCACCTTCTCCATCTCCTTCTTCAGCTGCGTGATCTGCATCTCGAGATCGTTCTTCTCGCGCTTCAGCGAGTGGGCCTCCTTCATGGCGCCGTCCAGTTTGAGGCTCAGCTGCTTGGACTCCTCCCGGGCCTTGTTCCGCTCGTTGCGGACCTGCGAAAAGTGAAAAGTTTTGATATTGAACCAACTGGGAAGCCATGGCAACGGCGCTGCTTACCTTACTCCACTTCTCCCGCCAGTTGGCCGTGCAATCGGACCTGGAAACATGGAGAGTTGGGATTAGCAGATGGTTTTAATGAGGATTAGTTACTCCACCTACCACCACTTCATGGTCTTCTCCATTTGCGCCGCCCTGGCGCGAGCTTCGTGCAGTTCCCTCTGCCGCTGGGACTAGGATGGAAATGGGGTTTAATATCTGGAAAATCGGGAAAAGCAGACTTACCTCCCGTGCCTCCCATTCCGTTTCTCCGTATCTAGCCGACATGGTGGTGCCAATGACGCCCACGCCGCCCACTTCGTTTGCCATCGGTCGCCTGCTGCCCACCGGTGCAGCAGTTGCACTTTGCGTCGTGGCCGCAGCCTGTGACATCTTGCTGGTATGCTTTCTCGAGTCCTGGATTGGGTCCTTCTTTCCGCACCACCGCCTAGCTTAACTGTTGCATTGCGGGCGTGTTTTTGCAGTTATTTAGAACAAAGCTGAAACCGAATACAGAAAATAAATTGCAGTGCCATTCGCCCGCGAGCGACAGCAGCTGTTGTTGTTTACTAGTCGCGGTGAATGGTTAGAGTCTGCAACTGAGAAGGGTTGCCAAGTGCTTCGAAGTAACGCCAAAAGGTCACACTGGAAAAGCCGCAATTTTTCGTGAAATTGTTTTTTCTCTGCCGAAACAGTGAAAACTGCTATAAAACATGGCCAAACATCATCCGGATTTGATTTTCTGCCGCAAGCAACCGGGAGTGGGTGAGTTTTCAAGCGAAAACCATTCGTAAACCGGGGTAATTCAATATTGTTTACATATTTCCCCTTCCCCTTACCATGCGGCAGCCATTGGACGCCTGTGCGAGAAAGACGACGGAAAGTGCGTGATCTGCGACTCCTACGTGCGGCCCTGCACCCTGGTTCGAATCTGCGACGAGTGCAACTACGGATCCTACCAGGGAAGGTGCGTCATCTGCGGCGGACCCGGCGTTTCGGATGCCTACTACTGCAAGTCGTGCACCATTCAGGAAAAGGACGTGGGTTTCTAGCTAGTTAGTTTCGGTGGAATCCATCGTATTAATCTGTATTTCCGTTTTTCCAGCGCGACGGCTGCCCCAAGATCGTGAATCTGGGCAGCTCCAAGACTGACCTGTTCTACGAACGCAAGAAATATGGCTTCAAACAGAAGTGAGTTAATTACCTTACGATTAAACCACCCTAATATTTCTTATAATTCTTATCTTTTTCTCTTTACAGCTACTGAAGTGCTCTCCACTACCTCATACATTTCTAATAAATTTTTATTGTAGTTTAATACATAAACAGAAGCTTTTGATAAATGAATATTTGGAATTTCCTCTTAACTCTAGACGGCCAGCAGTTTCTCGCCGCCATCGAGGTCGTACTGCAGGCACAGGCGGTCGAACTCGGCCGACTTCTTGTCCAGATCGGTGACAAAGTCGCTCTTGGGGTAGAACTGCCGCAGCTGCTCCAGATTCCGGGTGACCGACTCCGCCGGCTTGGCCGTGAGGTGGGCCAGCACCATCAGGTTGATTAGGGTGTCGTAGTCGTTGTGCTTCTTCAGCAGCGACTCGCGCAGCACGGAGTCTGCCTCCTCGTAGCGCTCCAGGCCCAGATGCACCACCGCCTGGCCGTTGAGCAGGGCCGGAGTGGGCTTGAACTTCTCGCAGAACTCCTGGTAGATGTGGAAGGCGTCCTGCATCTGCTCGGTGCCCTGGGCGAGGGCCACCCAGGCCTGGGCGAGCTGGGTCAGCGTGGCGTCGTCGCTGATCTCCTGCATCTTGGCCACCAGCTGCTTGGCCAAGTCGACGCGCTGCAGGCGCAGCAGGCACTGCACCGACAGGGCCATGGACTCCAAATTGGTGGAGCCGTGCAGGATCTTCAGGGCGTTCTCGAACTGCCCGTCGTGGCAGTAGACGATGGCGGTGGCGATGTGCCAGATGTTCGTCTCGTCCTCCCCCGCGGCCACCTTGTCCGTGAGCTTCTCCAGCAGCTCCTCCGTCCGCGAGGGCTGCTCGAAGGCTTCGTGCACCAGGCGCAGGGCCTGCAGGGGCGTGGCATTGCCCTCCTTGATGTCCGAGGCCACAATGCGCCCGGAATCGATGGCCAGGTAGGAGAGGTACATGTAGGACAGCAACTCGGATCCTGCGGTTCCCTGCTCCGGCAGCACGAAGTTGATCGAGCCCATGAAGTTGCCGATGTAGTACTCGTTGCGGGCGTCGAACAGCGCCGAGTTGGTGTCCTCTTCGTTCTGTTGTCGGCTCATTTTGCTGGTTATTTGCAAATTGGGAAGGAAAACACAATTATTTTCGGCTGAGTTGGCCGTCGAGTTGTCAAAGATTATCTAGCGATGGCACTATCGTCCATGTCTTTCTTGTGTCAGGAGGGTGTCTCGGCTACCGGAGGAGGGTGTCTTCGCTAACTGCCACTGTTAAGGGGACTCCCCCATTCCGTTTTTAAAAATTATTTAAGTTTCGATTCGAATCTATAAGGAAAGCTGCAAAAAACACTCGGAGCTAAATGTCGAAGGGTTTCTAATGTGCATTTTTTGATAAAAAGAATCAAAATTATATAGCTAATTTACGGTGGAACTCTTCTCAAAACAAAAACAAAAAAACTGGAAATGTTGCTTTAATGTTTCTAACATTTTTATTTACAAACCTATATAGAATTAAAATGGAATTTTTATGTGCAAAAATGCATTTTACTTCACTTCTGTCAAACCCCCGATAATTTCGTAAAACCACTTTCAATTTTTAGCTGACAACAATATTCATTTGTTCGACAATTACAAGTTAGAAATTGTCTGTGGAATACGCAGAGATTTGAAATCACTTGTAAATAAGTTTACAAGTTTTTATGATTCGTAAATTTAAATAGAACTAGTTAGTCTGGCCTGCTATAAAAACAATTAGACATTTTTGTCAAATTTTTCCGAATGCTTATTATTATAAAAGACCTCAAAGTCCTAGAAATTTTTGTTTTTATAGCAAAACACGCAACTTTAAAATGAAATTGCAAGAGAACCATTCATTTCCGCCGATAATCTTTCGCACGTAAATTCTTAGGAAATCGTGGTCCATCGATGGTAATTTTGTCGCGATTTTAGACTATTTCCAAATAAATATTTTGTTTTATACTATATATTATAGAGCAAAAGTTCTCAAAATATAAAAGTATTAGATTAACTATTTAGGCTTAGTACTCAACCCAACAAAAAGTCGTCCAAAACAAAAAACTTCATATGAAAAACAACGTCAAAAAATTTTGTTTCATACGAAGTTTTTGTTTTGGACGACTTTTTGTTGGGTTGAGTACTAGCCCTAAGTATGAACCGTATTTAACAGTTTAGCGATAATTGTACTGAATTTGAGAGGTTTTCAAACTCAGAATACCACACACCCACCTCGTACGCCCCTGATGTTCAGTGCTGAAAGACGCCTAGATTACTTTCATTTCGGATGTCTGTTCAAAAGCTTAACTATACGTAAAAAGCTAACGGTTTTACAGTGCCAATCCGGTTTGACTTGTTGTAACAATTGAGCTCCGATATTGCATTACATTTGTCCGCAAACGCAGTTCCATAAATTAGTTGCCACCTAGATTGAGTACAACAACCTACTTTGCCTTTCTAATCTTAGAATTCTGGCCCCAGTGTTTGTATTCTATTTCTTATCAGGAATGTACAATCCGAAGAGCAAAGACCTTGACCGGGAGTATTTTCCCAGCTATCATACCCCCCGGTTTCAGGATCAACCGGAACCGAATATTGCCGTGCTGGAGCACCATGTTCGCCTAACCAAGCAGCGTAAGCGAGGAAATGCTCTTGAAAGAACCAAAAACTAAGGGTAAGATTGCAGATGAAAGGGACTTGACCGCCAAGCAGGGCATCAGCGTGGACCACATGCGCTACGGGAGCGGTCGTCAGCTGGTGGATGTGTTCTACAATGAGAAGACCGGGAATCAGGCGCCGCTTTTCGTCTTCGTCCACGGGGGCTACTGGCAGGAGCTGGACTTGAGCACGTCCTGCTCCATCGTAGGTCCTCTGGTGCGGCGGGGATACCGGGTGGCCGTCATGGACTACAACCTGTGCCCCGACGTCACTCTGGAGACGCTGATGCAGCAGTTCACCGACTTCCTCAACTGGATCTTCGACTACGCCGAAATGACCAATGTGCTGGAGATCACCTTCGCCGGCCACTCGGCCGGAGCCCATTTGCTGGCCCAGATCCTCAGGCACCAGGACATGATCAACCCGCAGAGGAGCAGGATGGTGTGGGCTCTGATCTTCCTGTGCGGCGTCTACGATCTGAGGGACTTGTACAGTCTCGAATCGGTTAATCCGAAGAACATACTGGGACTCAACCAGCGGAACGTTGAGAAGGTTTCGCCCATGCTGTGGGAATACACCGATGTGGCCATTTGGAGCTCCACTAGGATCCACGTGGTGGTGGCGGAGCACGACAGCGTCACCTTCATCGAGCAGAGTCGCCGCTTTGCCGAGGTGCTGAAGAAGAATGGATTCAAGACCAGTTTCAAGATCTTTCCGAAATACGATCACTTCGATATTATCGAGGAGACGGCCATTGACGAATCGGATATATCTCGGTTCCTGCGCAACATCCGCATTGAATAAAATAGGCAGAGCCTCCAAACTTAATTTCTCTTTTCTCACCATTCGGTTTATTTCGTACAACTAACTTAGACTAGTAGTATTTCATATGTACACTAGCGTATTTGTGTGGCTTGTACCCGAGGGTACGGACTTTGTAATAAATTAGCGTGGCGGGATTTGTACGGATGATTGGATTACCGAAAATATGTTAGGGGCGACAGTAAAGCTAACCAATGTTAATTCATAGAACGCATAGAGAATTTGATGCTTGAGAAATAAAACAAAGATGTGGTTATTATAGTTAATTATACATAACAACTCAGTCAATGCTGACAATTACAGATTTTTTGTTTGAATCTATATCGCTTAAATTTGTATAAACACAAGTTTTATTACGAAAGCGAATTAATATTCGTTTTTAGATATCCACCAAATCGATCAAAAAAGTTTTCTTTGAAACCAGTTGAATTAGAAATTTAAATAAATTTATAACATTGTGAATTCGGCGAATATAGTTTCTCCTGATTAATAGAAAAGCTTATGATTAGCCATGTTCAAGTTAATAAGATTCAACTATTTGGAAAAGTTTGGATTAGTGGATAAATTTGTTTAAAAAATACTATTCGGCCCAATGCATATTGATAAGTAAACACGATCATCGCACAGTCATTTGCCTTTCAAGAGTGTGAACAAGGATACATTTAGTAAATCGAACCTAATCAGGAATAAGTTGAACAAATCGAATAAATAAAACTTAACTGGGATGGCGGAAGGGGTTCTATGACGACCGGTTCTAGGACTCCTCATCCGAAATGATAATCTCGTCCGCAATGACCGGCTTAGGATGGGGTTTTGTGTGCGGATCCTGCCCATGGACGAAGTTGGCGTTCAGACTAGAGACGGACATTATCTTCAGCTTGCCGTTGGGCGGGGCTTCGTCAATCTTTTTGCCAGTCTCGGCTCTCGTTATATCTATCACATCCTCCTCGGCGGCCGCCGATTCTTCTTCCGCCTCGGAGTCGGCATCACTCACTTCGCCGTTGGCCTTGAAGTTATCCACGAATTCGTCTACATCATCCTCCTCGTCCTCCGTGTCCGATTCCTCCTCCGAGTCCTCGCCGTCGTCGTCGAGTTTGAAAACCTTTGCATCGATGGAGCGCTTCCTCTCGATTCCGTTGCCGTTTCCACGAGCCGACGAACTACTCTTCATTAAAGCTGCGATGGCGGCCTCTTTGGCTGCTGCCTGGGCACTTGTGCAGGGCTTGTCGTCGTCCACCGCCAAGGCAGCCAGCTTGGCGGCCTCCTCTTCGGCCCTTTCCTGCTTCAGCTTCTTCTCCTTAAGCCGCGCCTCTTGCCGCTCCTCCGCATTGAGATCCTGCTCGCGGGCATACCTAAAAGTAGTGGTAAATATTAGTCTTGCACATTATATTGAATTCAGCCCTGCTTCTGTTCTCGATGCTCGTCAATAGATGACTTAAAGGGGGGTAGGGTCTTTGGAACCAAAAAATCGACTAGCTTTGCGATTTTTTCTATAAAAACTGGTGCGATGGATTTAATTCAAACCTTTTGTATATTATTAAGTGTCATTTAAATAACATCCCCTAATTTTTATAGCCGAGACTATCGGTGGCAAAGCGATGGCTGGAACACTATTAAAAAAAAGGCGTTTTGCTGTGTTCACTGTACCTCCGCTAAAAATGATCGGATTTCCATTTTGTTTTTACATTTCGCTTAAGAATTAAAAAAACCCGCCCCTTTGAAGCTCTTTTTTATTTTTTTGTTTTAGGAATTTTTTTCGTTATCCTAAAGTTAAAAATGAGTTTTTTCACATACAAAATTTGACTTTCGGCTTAAAAAAAAAATTTAAAGTTAAATAATAAAAAAAAAACGCTGCATAGGGGGCGGGTTATTTTTATGCAGAAAAATATGCGACAAATTTGAAAACGATCGGTTGAGCCGTTTAGAAATGCCGATGAAAACGGACTTTCGAAACGTGGTTTCGAGAAATACACACTTAGGGCCGTTTTCTCGTCCGTTTGTTAAATTTAAAGTAGGGTAAAAAAACCTTGAAATCATATGGGAAATCAGAGATTTAACCCTACTTTTTATTTACCAGACGGACGAGAAAACGGCCCTTAAAGATGCACTTACGTACTTAAAGTCTTGGAGGTTAGGGTACTAATTTTGGCATAACTTCTAAGGTTTTTGTCCGATTGACTAAAATGTTAATCTACAAGAAACAAAATTTTAAAAAAATCTGTTTTTTTTTGCAAGACCCTACTCCCCCCTTAAAGTTAAGACCTAAAATTCTCTTTTCAATTGAACAGAGCAGATCTGAAATTCTGGTTTTGTGCTCACTTTTCCAGGACATCACTTATTTTAGTTTGTTTTCTGTTGTTCTCCTTTAACTTCGCAAGCAGTTCGGGATCGCTGGCGGCCGGATCTTTGACATTGGCCGTGAAGTGCGTTACGGTTTCGTAAAGATCAGTCTTCCGACGTGACTGCAGTAGTCGACCGACTTTGGCAAAGGCATCATAGGCTGTAAAATAAATATATTGTGTGAAACGTTATTTTTAAAATACTATAACCCAAGCCTCACCGATTCTCTTCATCTCGAAGCTGGCCAGTCCGAGTTCCTTCTCCTTGTTGCAGTGCTCCAGAATCTGGAGCACGTCGTGGTAGTCGGGAAACTCGCGCATCTTGTTGACAAAGGCCGACAGGGTGCGATTGAAGTGCGTGTAGGCCGTGTCCTTGAACTGGATGGGCTGCTTCAGCTGGCGACTGGCCTTCTTGCTCTCGCCGGTTAGATCACAGATTTTCTCGTATATTTGGCAGGCGCGCTTCTTGAAGCGTTCCACCTGAAGATAGCTGGAGTCCTCGTCGTTCAGGTCCACATCGGCGTCCTCCAGCATCTTGATGCGCTTGGTGATGGTGTAAAGCGTGCGATTCAACTGCCGAATGCGCTCATCCTTACGCTTATCGGTGGTGGGCGAATCGGGCTCGGGTTCCGCTTCCTCCTCCTCCTCTTTTTCCTCCTGAGTCTGCTCCTGATCCTGCTCCTGATCCCGCTCTTTCTTCTCTTCTCTTCTCTGCTGCTCCTTGGGAGTGGAAGCTCTTGGCTGCGGGGACTCTCTTGCTGCTGGCTTCACCACTTTGGCCACCCGCCGCGCCTTCAGCTCGTCCACCACGTACTTGAGATGCACGTAGACCATGTCCGACTCGCTCCTGATCCGCTCCATGGCCTGTTCGACCATCTTGCGAAAGCCGCGCGACGCCACGAAGCTCTCGTGCACGCTGTAGTAATACTTGGTAAGTTTGCCCTTGGACAGGCGCTCCATGTCCTCCGAGGGGTCCACCTGGCGACACAGCTTAATGAGTGCCGCGTACTCTGGCGTAAAGGCGGCTTTTGCTGGCGGCGATGCTTCCTGGGGGGGCTTCTTTACGGGAGTGGAATCTTCTGTCTTTCGCTTTTTCGGCGGCGTCTCAGGCAAGGCATCTAAATCTACGATCTCCGGCTCGACATTCACCGAATTCTTCAAGGGAGGAGTTACTATAGCAGGTCTCTTCAGGTTACTGGCTTGTTTATCCGTTGTACTCGACTTGATTGGCGGCGTTTTCTCCGTCTCCGGCTTCTCCGTGGGCGGCGTAGTGGGCGGAGACTCCACGAGGACAATTGTGGGCGTCGAGCTGGACTGCAGCTGCTCGCGCTGCCTTTGCTGCTGCTGCTGTTGCTCGAGAATATGCCGCCGCCACTCCTCGTCGGACTTCTTGAGCACAGTGATGGGCTGGATGCGCTTGGCGGTCGTCGTAGCGGGAACCTTGGTCACCGGAGAAATGCTTGCCCCGGGCAAGGAGTTCAATTTAAAGGCTGCTGCTTTGGCTAGCTGTTGAACTGCCGCCGGAATCCCAGCTGGCGGGGGAGTTGTCGTGGGCGTTAGCTGTGGCGTAATGCTGGTGGTGGGGGGTAAATTTAACAGCAGCGGCTCATTCAAGGCGGCCGCACAATGCGGCGGAGTGGCCAACAGACGCTGCGGTGGCGTGGCGCTGGCTGTGAATCCCTGGAGATGCGTAGAAGTCAGTGGCGGAGTGGCTGCCTTGTGGGCTGTGCTGCTCCTAAAGGGCAACGTTCGGGCGGCACTCATGACGGCGGTTGCTCCAGGCACCTGTGGCTTCATTTGAAAGCCCGCTCGGCTCGGCACCGTCGTGATCTTGGTCACCGTAGCAGGTCGCACAATCGGCGGACGGTGTGCGAAAGGAGGAGTTTGCAGTGGTGCTTGTGGCGGCGTCTGCTTTTGAACTAAATGAGCGGGTGGTGGCGCTTGCTGGGGGAATATCTGCTTCGGAGGAACCTTCGCCGCCGTGGGCGCTTTCTGCAGCATGGGTAGTTTTTGAATGGTCATCGATTTGTGTGTAATTTGGTTAACGACGGGGAGAGATGGCTGCTGAACAGGACTCTGTTCGCCCAACACAGAGTTCATTAGTTGTTGAGCCATCTGGGTTTTTGGTGATTGCTGCTGCTGTTGCGCCGACGTCAATGGATTTTGTGGTCGCAGCAGAGCCGTTGGTACCTTGGGAAGCTGCGGGTGTCCCAGGAGAGCCCTCTGTTGCTGCTGCATCTGTCCTGCCTTCTGAGACACCTGTTGCAGTTGCAGTTGTTGCTGTTGTAGTTGTCCCATGGATATTCGTTGCTGTTGCTGCTGCTGCATCTGCACTAAAGCGGCTATGTGCTGCTGCTGCTGCTGTTGAATTTGCTGGTGAAGTTGCAGTTGCCCCACGGACGGCTTTTGCGGATTTTGCTTCTTTTGGAGTGGCTTCTGCTGCTGCACTTGCACCTGGGCAGCCTTCTGTTGTGGCAGCTGCGGTTGGCTTTGCCCCAGGGACGCCCTTTGTTGCTGTTGTCCCACAATGGCCTTTTGTTGCTGCTGGAACTGCCCTCCCACCGCCGTTTTCTGCTGAGGCGATGGTCTTGCCAGCGCCTTTTGCTGAAGGCCCAGTAATTTCTGTTGCTGCTGCATCGGAGAACCCAACGATCTAGCTGGCTGTTGCTGCTGTTGCTGTTGCAACTGATGCTGCAACTGCAACTGCTGTTGCTGCAGTTGACCCAGAGAAGCTCTCTGCTGCTGCTGCTGTCCAGGAAGAACCTTCTGCTGCGCTGGTAGCGTCTTCTGCTGCTGCTGTAGCTGCAACATCTGTCCCATTGGAGCTTTTGGCTTTGTTACTCCTAGAATTATAGGCTTTTGGGGCTGACCTATCCCAACGGGCGGTTGAATCTTTGCAGGTATCGTTTTCGGCGTTACTCCAATGGGTGACTGGATGACTTTGGCGCCGGGTGCCAAGCGTATTTGGTTGCCAGGCGTCACCCTCACCTGGTGACTGGGCACGCTGGTGATCAGGGCATTCGGACTGGGAGCCTTGCTGCTCACCGACCAGGCCACTTTCTGGGCGGCGCCCATCTTCACCGGCTTCCCAATCACATTGGTGTTGTTGTTGTTATTGTAGCTGTTGGTGTTGTTATTGTTGTTCTCTGCCAAGGAAATGGTCAGATTTCCGTTTGTGGTGAGGATGTTCTTCTGGTGTTTGGTCACCGTGATGCCGCTGGGGATGTGCATGGATCGGAGGGGATCCACTGGGACAGGGGATGCCCTCGCAGGTCCTCCTCCTGCTGAAACTGGTACTCCAACTCCCACAGGAGATCCCAAGGATGCCTTTGGTATGTTCATAAGTTTGGCGGGCAAAGTTTGTCTACCAGTTGGAGCCATTGGTCGCAGGGGATCCTCGAGTCGTCGTCTTTTTCCAGCCGGTGACTGCGAAAATTATAATAGTAATTGTTGATAAATGTGAAATATGTAGGTAGTACGTACTAAGATAACGATTTTTTTTTTAATGTCAAATTATTTTTGAAAATACCAGGGACGGTAACAAATGTCATTTGTAATTTCTATTTTGTAAACTTCAAAAATAACACTTTTGTTCTTCTTTAAGCGGATTAGGAAATTGCTAATTGTTAATGAAAAAGAAATATGTAGGTAGTACGTACTAAGAGAACGAATTTTTTTAAATGTCAAATTATTTTTGAAAATACCAGGGACGGTAACAAATGTCATTTATAGTTTTTATTTTATAAACTTCAAAAATAACACTTTTGTTCTTCTTAAAGCGAATTAGGAAATTTCATAAAAATATAACTGATTGGAAAACATAAAACCTACGTGTATTCAAAATAAAAATCTTGGGTTCTAAGGAAATACATCAAGTAGAAAATAAAAAAGTTCAAACACACTTAAAAAATAATAAATAATTTACGGTTTAAGTTACGATTTGGTTAATAGTTTTTAAATATAGCAGCAGAACAATATAAATAATTTACAATTTACGTTCCCGACAATAAGATTAAGGGTTCTTGTTAATATAATTAATGACTCCAAATAACTTAAATAAGTTCGCTTTATAATTTCCCAGATTTATGTTTATTCAAAAGTGCAGGCGACCTGTTGGCTCCGGTGCATTTTAAATTTGAATGAAAATAATAACAAACGACAAACGCAGTGGAACACTACGGTGCACATGTGTGCGTGAGCGATTTTGGAGAGTTGCGAGCGCGCGCTTTGGAGAGTAGATTTGATTTCGAGCACTATCAGCGGGGACAAACCCCTTTTTTTCCCTGTGAATTGCGTCTTAACCACATTCTCTCCAGAAGAGGAGAGTCACTCTCTCGCTCACAGACACTCGCTTTTTTCCACGCCTAGCGTAATTTAATTGCAATTGCAAGTCGCCAAGTCTCCAATCGCACCGTCTGGCAGCACTGGCCCACTTTTGCATCTGTGTGAGTGGGGCTCTGCATGTTCGTGTCTGCTCGCTCTCAATAAAAGCAGCGCGAAAAAATTAATTCCACACTATGTGAAACACGCACACACACTCAGGCAGCGAGCCTATTTAAATCCAACTGTACTTTTTTACACACACACGCACACGGCGGGGGAGTCCGCTGGGAAGTCGGAAAATCGGGGAAATTACCTCTTCATCGGACTCCGAGCTCAGGTCAACGCATATCACCGACGCAGACATAATTCGCCCGAAAATGGCAAGCGGCCGCACTGAATTTATTCACTCTTTACTCGCAGCGCCTCGATAAAGATTCGCTGGCTTTTCTTCGCATTTGGACTCGCTCCCGTTGTTGCCAGCTAGTTTTTCACGCATATGTGCACGACGCGCGTCTGTGTTTGCTCGTTCTCAGCACTGAAAGCTATATGTGGGGAATTCTCCCACATATTTATTACGTTCGCCTGCTGAATGCACTGCGTGTGTTTGTTTGTATTGTTGCCGTTCAATTGTCACTTTTGGAGAGTTCTAGAGCTGTCAAACTATCGATAGATTAGCATGGTCTCACTAAAATGTACGCAGGGTTAGCGGAGACATATCCCATAGTTTATCTGGCAACGCTGTTGACCGGACTGACAGATTGGTATCTTCTGACGTTTCGGCTGCGGTCATACTGATTTTGGACACGTCGACGTTTGTTCGTTCGGTTCGCTCATTCGGTTTTTGAAATTTGAAGCGTTCGCTGTGCACTCGAAAGTGAGACTTTCTAACTTTTGTATAGAAAGTGCATTAACCAAGCCCCGCTAGCACAAGTCCGGCAAAATGGGAAGTAAGTAGAACGGCAGACAGAATCTCTACAATTGCGGAGTGCAGCGGTTTGTGTGTGAAAGTGCCGCCCCAGCGATGCCGCTCTCTCGCTCGCACCCCCGTCGCTCGTTGCTTACGTATACAAAAAAGATTCGGCTTCGGCGTGCCCGAAAAACTGCAATTGGAAATGAGAAAGAACGGAAAAGTCCTGAAACGCGTTTCTAATGCCATTGTTTCCATTCACTATTTGCAGTCAAGTTCCTGGAAGTTATCAAACCCTTCTGCAGTATACTGCCGGAAATCGCAAAGCCCGAGCGCAAGGTGTGTATGAAAATCCTTAATTCAATAGACAAAATACCCTAGAGTCTCCCCAAAGTGTGGTGTTTCATGAAATGCACAAATTTCTCTAACAATTAGCGGCCTTTCCTTGGTTTACGTGTGTGTTTTCCTGAGGGTTATCTCCCCCGACTTTGACCAGTGTTGCCAGCGCACGCGTTTTGTGGTTGCTTTCACTTGTCAAAAATTGAACATCGCCACGCAAACAGTTTGCTCTTCATTTCGTAGGAGAAGAGCAGCAACAAACCACCCTGAAACTAACTGAACTGAACCTGAAATGTGATGAAATGCATTTCACAGCACAATACCATACAAAGTTTTTTATAATTTTCCCGATTTCTTTTAATTTTTTTATATAACAAATATTAATTTTAATGAAAATTTACGATTTTTTAGTCCCACAGTACCTCTAAATCAAATAACTTCTTGTTTTCATGAGTTTATTGGAGGTTTTCATTCATAAATCTCCAATTTCCAGCTCATTGCTTCTGCTACCTTTCTTATCACCTGGCTACTTGTTGCCATACTCCTATTTTATGCACACACACACTCCTCTCCCACACACTTTGACAAACAAACGCTACGTGGAAATGTCAAACTTCGGCTCGCCCGAAGTGCAACCCGAAGCACTGTCGACGTCAGCTTCGTTTGTTTTTGTTGCTCCCAGATGACAAGCAATGACGACTACGAACCATGAGAAGTTAACTTGATTTTGTTTAAACAATTCACACACGTACACACACGGGAAAGCGGACATGTAGGTCAATATAGCGGCTGTTTTATTTGTTGAGTTGCTAAAAGGGGCTTGAGTTTAAGCCGGCAAACAAAGAAATAATTATAATTTTAAAATACAAATAGGTTCTGGCTATTTTTTTGTCCGCATATTGAATTTAAAGTAGGCTTTAAACATTGAACACGTATCGAAATTTATAGTATAAATCGTACTTTAAACTTAACAAGCGGCCGAGAAAAATAACCTACATTTTTTTAAAGCTTTGGAGTTTTTAAAGAGTAAAAATTCACATTAACTAAAACAAACTTTTTTAAAGAAATCAAAGTTTTACAACAGCGTAACAAAATGTTTTCTTTCAGTTTTGTTTAATTTTAAACGAAAATTTAAAAAAATTTAATTTAATTTATACAACGTCAATACAATTTACCTGCCTTTAAAAGCAGTATTGACGAATAAATTAAATTCGTTTTTTTTTAATTTCCGTTTAAAATTAAACAAAATTAAAAGGAAATATTTTCTTACGCTGTTGTAAAACATTAATTATTGTTAAAGTGTTGGTTTTAGTTAATGTGAATTTTTTACTCTTTAAATACTTATTTTAAAGTATATTTGGTCTTCAACTCACTGAGAAATTATAGATTTTCTACAAAACCAAAAGTGCTTTGCAAGATGACTCATTCAAAACTCTTCTCCATTCCAGATCCAATTCAGGGAGAAAGTGCTATGGACCGCCATCACGCTGTTCATTTTCCTGGTCTGTTGCCAGATCCCGCTGTTCGGCATCATGAGCTCGGACTCCGCGGATCCCTTCTACTGGATCCGTGTGATCCTGGCCTCCAACCGCGGTACGCTCATGGAGCTGGGCATCTCGCCCATCGTCACCTCGGGCCTGATCATGCAGCTGCTGGCCGGAGCGAAGATCATTGAGGTCGGCGACACGCCCAAGGATCGTGCTCTGTTCAACGGCGCCCAGAAGCTCTTCGGCATGGTGATCACCATCGGCCAGGCCATCGTCTATGTGATGACCGGCATGTACGGCGATCCGTCGGAGATCGGAGCCGGTGTCTGCCTGCTGATCATCATCCAGCTGTTCGCCGCTGGTCTGATTGTGCTGCTGCTGGACGAGCTGCTGCAGAAGGGCTATGGTCTGGGATCCGGTATTTCGCTCTTCATTGCCACCAACATTTGCGAGACGATCGTGTGGAAGGCCTTCAGCCCCACCACCGTGACGACGGGACGAGGCACCGAGTTCGAGGGCGCTGTGATTGCCCTGTTCCACCTGATGGCCACCAGGAACGACAAGGTGCGCGCCCTGCGCGAGGCCTTCTACCGCCAGAACCTGCCCAATCTGATGAACCTGCTGGCCACCGTGCTGGTGTTCGCCGTGGTCATATACTTCCAAGGCTTCCGCGTGGATCTGCCCATCAAGAGTGCCCGCTACCGCGGCCAGTACAGCAGCTACCCCATCAAGCTGTTCTACACCTCCAACATTCCCATCATCCTGCAGTCTGCGCTCGTGTCCAACTTGTACGTCATCTCGCAGATGCTGGCCGTCAAGTTCCAGGGCAACTTCTTCATCAACCTCCTGGGCGTGTGGGCTGATGTCGGAGGCGGCGGCCCGGCCCGCTCCTACCCCATCGGAGGTCTGTGCTACTACCTTTCGCCCCCGGAGAGCGTGGGCCACATCCTGACCGACCCCATCCACGCCTTGCTCTACATCGTCTTCATGTTGGGCTCCTGCGCGTTCTTCTCCAAGACCTGGATCGATGTGTCCGGCAGCTCAGCCAAGGATGTGAGTGCAGCGCTTAGGTTGCGCAAAGTGTTCACCTTGACTTAACGATCCTCTTTTTCCCCCGCAGGTTGCCAAGCAGCTGAAGGAGCAGCACATGGTGATGCGCGGCCATCGCGAGAACTCGATGATCCACGAGCTGAACCGCTACATCCCGACGGCGGCTGCCTTCGGCGGCCTCTGCATCGGAGCGCTGTCCGTGATGGCCGACTTCCTGGGCGCCATCGGCTCCGGAACGGGTATCCTGCTGGCGGTGACCATCATCTACCAGTACTTTGAGATTTTCGTTAAGGAGCAGTCCGAGATGGGCGGCATGGGCACGCTGCTGTTCTAAGCAGTCTATGAGATCACCGATCACCCGCGATCCACACAACAATAACTAATACTTCATCATACTTCCCACACGCTCGCTCGCTCGCGCTCCCATTAAAAACAAACCCTAATTACCTGATTGGTTTTTTTTTTCGTCCTCTGTCCAAAACACCCGCAGTAAGCGTAAATTGTAAGGCCTTTGGCTGCTAGTTCCATCTTCCCAACCGAGAGAAGCGTACATAAAAGGCATGAGAGAAACTTTATTTTGAATAGTTTTTAGTTGTATTCAAATGTGAGACTACGTTGCTTAAGTTCAATATTTCTGCGAATTGATTGAATTTCAATGCAATTACTTGTTTTAATATTAAATCAATTGAATTATACTTTAAATGCGAACCTGAATGGAGACATTGAAATTATTGAAGCGAAGATGTACATCAAACGAACACATGCATACAAATTGTCATAATAAAACGTAAATTAGATAACTTTTTTAAATGAATTGGCGGTTTTTTGATGGGGATATTTGGGGTTACTAAGGGGAATTCGTAAGACAATTGCAGACTCAATTTCAGTTGCAATAATTACAAAATAAGAATTGTTCACCTCAATTTAGTGTTTAAGCTCGACTTGGAAAATGGCGCCAACGATTTAAAAGCGATATCGTCGATTACCCAGCCGCCGCCTCGCCAGTGTGGCCGTATCAAGGCGACTCAAAGGTATTTTCCCTGGAGCGGCGACTGGTCATGCTGGGGCAACAAAAATTGGAAATAGTGGAGCAAAATCGTAAATATTAGCAAATGAGCCACCTTTACGACCCTCGAGCGTGTTGAGTTGCGAGGCCCACAAGCACCGAAGCGCATTTAACCCCCGCCGGATCGAGTCGCCCGCCCAGGAGCCGCGAGGACAACCCAAAAGCCGTCCGAACGCCAGGAGAAGCGCTCGCTGCCATGTCAGCTCCGCTGGCCAGAAACTGGCCGTACATCTGGCAACAGCTGAACGCCCTGCTGCACAACACCTCGCCGGTGATCACCTTGATCTGCGTGGTGACCACCTTCGGCTACCTGCTCTCCTTCTCGGAGCAGGCCATCCTGCTGCTCAGCGTCACGCCCGGCTACATCCTGCCCAACGGCAAGTTCTGGATATGGACCGCCTTCACGTTCTGCTTCATCGAGCTGCACTGGTGGGAGGTGGCCGTCGACGTGGTCACCGTGGGCCTCTGCGGCAAGATGCTGGAGCCCCTCTGGGGCCAGCTGGAGATGTTCAAGTTCTTCGCGCTGAGCAACTTCGGCGTCTCGCTGCTGACCACCGTCTACTACCTATTCTACTACATGGTCACCAAGAACCCGACCATCCTCTTCGACGTCCACATCCACGGCCTGGCCGGCTACGTGGCCGGGATCTGCGTGGCCGTGCGCCAGATAATGCCCGATCACCTGATCTTCAAGACGCGCTACGGACGTCTGACCAATAGGTGAGCAGGCGATGGGATATTAGGGGTCATATTCTTGATTTATATACAGATATCGGATTTTAGGTGAAATCGTTTTTCTTTAAATACGATTTAAAGCCACATTTGATTAGTTACAAATTTTATTTATTAAGTTATAATTAGATTTAGGCCAAACTTCATTGAGGTTTTTGTAAAAAAAATTTTAACCAATCAAATGTGCCTTTAAATCATATTTAAAAAAAACGATTTCACCTAAAATCCGATGTCTATTTATATATAAGTACAAGCATTTACAAACCACTATCCCTAAGAAAGATTGGTAGTAGTTAAGCTGTAAAGATCCCTAGTTAGTTAGTCTTAGTAGTTAATCTACCTTTGAACTCTAGCAAATGGTTCATTGATTCAGCAACTCATAAATTCATCAAACAAGCGTGGGTTTCAAGTTTTATTTAAAATGATTCAGCTTAGGGCAGCCCATAGTAGGTATACGATTAGCTCAAACCACTCATTGTATAAATTTGTAGGCAAACTATGAGTAATCTGCCCAAAGTTAAAATGCAATGATTTCTACTTCCCAGGAACGTCCCCCTCACCGTGCTCATAATGGCCATTATCATGTGGGCCATTGGCCTCCTGGATGGCACGTATCCGGCCATGTTTGCCTCTGGATCGCTCGTCTCCTGGATCTATCTCCGCTTCTACCAACACCATCCCAATGGGCGTGGCGACAGCTCCGAGAGCTTCACGTTCGTCAGCTTCTTCCCGAACGTATCGCAGCCGTTTATCAGCGTGTTGGTTAATCCCATTTACAACTGCTGTTTGCGGGCGGGCGTGGTCAAGACGCCCACTCCGCTGCGGACGATATCTACGGCCAGCTTGACGTCGATATCGGTGCAAATGCCGGGCGTGGATCCGCATGATATCGAGCGAAGGCGGTAAGTATGATGGCCTAGTAATTGTTATGTTTAATCAGCACTTTTCTAGATTTACATATCAATTTAAGTGCGCTTATCTTAAGACCAATTATTTGTTGTTCTCTAGATAAGCAATTTTAATTGTTTGGGTAATGATTGTGTTTTTTCTTCGATTCCAGACAAATTGCTTTGAAGGCGCTGAGCGAGCGCCTAAAGGCCACGGACTCTAATCGTCACTCCCAGTTGCCCAAGTCGTTCCCGCAGCAGCAGCAGCTGCAGCACCACCATCACCAACATGCGCCGCACCAGCAGCAAAAGCATCACAGTCACGGCGGTGGGCACAGCCATGGAGCGGGCCACAGTCACAGCCATGGAGCGGGTCATGGCCACAGTCATGGCCCCGGCCCCGCTCAGATGCCGCAGCCCGAATTCCTGAAGCCCTCTGGCAGCGCCACTCAGCTGCCCATCACAACGTCGCGGGCGGAGCCACGCATGATCAGCACAATGAGCCCGATCGCAATACCCATGCCGGCGCCACCGCCCAAGGAGGGCGGGAGTATTCCGGGTCAGGGTGCCGAATCCCCCGACGGCGGCGGTGCTACACTTATCAATCTGGACGACGTACCGTCCACGTCTTCGACGGCTTAGACAGTGATTCTATGCAAACATAAATGAATTTTTGATATTTAAACGAATGATCTAATGATTTACGCCCATGTTTTGTATGATCCTGCATCAAGTACGTACCCCCCCAATTCGCGTTCCCCCCTTTTGTAATTACCGTTCGTGTGTTTCGTAGTGTCCTGTAGATTAACGCTTGCTTGCTGCGCACACCGCCGGCCGTGCTCCTAGGAACAGTGAAGTAATAAGATAAAAGCGAAAAACAAATACCTTCCAGGCGATATGAGAATAACTAGAGCCTTTACATAGATGCATACTTTCTGTTGTAGTCTTTACATGTAATTGAAAATGATGCTTTATTTAGTTAATAACTGTAAATATATTTAAATCTCCAAAAATAATGTTGCGTTTGACTCGTAAAACCCTTTTCTGCTACGAACGAATTTTATTTGGTTATTAGGAATTTTATATGTTACATGAACGGACAAGTTTTTATTTTTTTGGCTTTTTAAATGTAAAAAATTATAATATCAATCAATGCTGCATTTATTGTTAAAAAAGTGTAAGTCCTCTTAAATTCAAATGGATTTCCCTTAATAAAATTACAACAAATTCAAGTGACAAAAAATTACCTACTTAAAATTAATGATTTATCTTAAATATTTATTTAAATTACCAGTATAATTATTTAAAAAATTAATATAATAATAATAATAAAAAAAATACCAGTTATTTTTAATTTTACGGGCCGTTGAATGGTTTTAGTATATTTTTCAGGGCCCTGAATCAAAAGATCTACCTCTGGTCACACTCGTCGTCAGCTGTGCGCACCGTTTATCGATTTATGATTATCGATTCTCCGCCCAATTGGGCCCATATAAAAAAACAGTCGCGTTCGGATTGCACATTTTCGGGTACTTTATTTAGTTAATTTACCCAGCGCGTATGCCAAGTTGCCACCCACTGGTCACTGGTGTGTGAGTTGAGCCACGTCGGAACTGGGATGATGCCATAGGCTTGATTGGCGGGCCCAGGCACAGTCACTGCAAGAACAATTCGCGCGGAGTGGAGGGGAGCTACACAGGGTGTTCCCTGCGAAATGGGTCGCAACAACTTCAGTTCGCAGCACCAGCAGACAAATGTGAGGCGCCATCGAAATGGTTAGTAAGAAAAAACCCCACTCAAAAGCACTGATAGTGATAAAAAACCCGCAGCCCAGAGCTGTGATAAGGGGCCAAAAGCGGAAAGCACACAAACACACGCAACAGCGAGTGTACATACATATGTAAACAACTCATTTGCTATCGCTGTTTTTGTTCCGTTTTTCGGGGAATGTGTGTGGTAGTGTTTTTTGTTTCTGCTTTTGCTGTTTTTATACCTACGTGTGTGTAGCTTCGTGGCAAAAACAACAAGAAATGTCGATCTAGTCGACTGTGAAACACCCTTCAATAACTGCCCTGCTCAAAAAACAGCATACCTCAAGGCGCTGTGTGTGTAACATGTGCCTATTTTTTTATATTTGAGAGGCTTATTGCCAAAATTTAAAGTTGCTTCTAAGGGAACTGCATTTATTTAATTTTAGTATGGCTTTTAAAAAGTATTTTTATTCAAATTTGTATTTTTTATATGTTATAAGAGCGACATACATAGTCGAAAAGTTATATTTGTAAAAATTCGATCCTCGATCGATCCTCGATCGATCCTCGAAAACTTAGTTTTTACCTTATTCCAAGTTTAATGCGAACTTAAAATTTACCCTGATAACACTTAGGTCTGTTTGTTAAATGTAAAGTGAGGTTTAGGCCTCGAAATCATATGGAAAATCACAGTTTAAAGGTGGCTTTAAATTTAACAGGCGGACGAGAAAACAACTCTTCCAGAAAATGAGCGATGTATAAACATTAAATGCTTTTATCGCTACAAATTAAATAAAAATAAGATTCTTTTGGCGATCTGCTGTTGGGACTTTAATCAAAATGTTGTGTATTTTAAGCATAAATAGTTCCTGAATTCTTGACATTCATACGAATATCATAATTTGAGTACTTACAGTGAACATTGTAGATAGCCTCGGCTTTTCATGTGGATCATAAAGTCGGCTTTATTATTTGTTCAACTTTAATTTACATTCCGATGTATTTTTACATAAAAAGTTTTTAAAATAAGGTATTTTGTAATTCAATTGTATGTTTATCTCTGTTTCATAGCTAATATAATTTTTGGATTCATAAAAAAGGAATAAGTAAACAGTGCGATTGAAAACCTTAATTATTAGAGATTTTCTTTCCACAATACGATTTTAGATCACCAAAATCGATCCGCCGTAATTCATTGTACACTCCTAAGGGTGCACGAGTAAAATATTCATGTATACTCATAATTAATGGGTATAATAACCAATCAAACCGGCCGAACACGGTTTTCGTACACATGTATATAAGCCTTTGTTTTGCCATATTTTCGTCAGTTCTTGGCTCATTTAAATGCCATAACCTTTCCAACAACTCCCGATAACCCACTTAACTAGTTTGTAAGCCACTGGGGTAACTTGTTTATCAGGAACTGAACTACATTGTAGGTGCGGTGCCGCCCTTAAGTGTTTCCTTGTGGCCAGCGTTTCTTGGACTCCGGGCAGCACCTTTTACTTTCACTAAAACTAAAGCCCGTGTTCAGGGCCATTTGGTTTCGAATTCGATTTCGGTTTTCTGATTTTTCGCCTTGCATTTGCAACACGCCGCTTGGCAAATTTGCCCCGCAGCAGAAATGCGATTGGAATTGCTGCAGCCCCAGTAGCCGTATCGCTCAAAACAAAACAGTGATCGAATTGTTGATACCCCGTAGAACAGTCTCAAGTAATGCAATAGGGAGTTGGTATTAGAAAGCTAAAATATTTTATTTTGTTTTGTGTTCAAAAAAAATTACTCATACGAAACGTATGCCAGCTAAAACGTTATAAAAAACATATATTTTCTGGCCTTGTTGTTTTAAAATAAAATGATGTAAATGTACATTTTTATTTTGAAGTATGTAAATATTTTATAATATTTACTTCTGCATTTTCTTAAATCACATATTAACTTTTAAAGTATAGGTATTAGCTAGTTTCGAGAACTGTTGTCGGAATTCCCTTCCAGCTGGTTAAATAAACGCTGTCATATTTTTTTAAATTAACTTCAACTACAACAAGGTTGTGCTTATTATGATCACTTATTAGATGTACGATTTTTTATACACAGTATTAATGATATTAAATACCCATCCATGTGTTAGAATGCAGAGATCTCGGAGATAGGGAAAATAGTGCCAATGGTGCCAAAATAAATGAAGAGGACTTTTACAAGAGAATTCCTCCTCCACTTCCTCGAAGAATAAACTTCCATATCAAATATGTATGTGCAATGCTCATTAAGCATGCATTAAGGATGATTGCTAAGTGTTTTCTCAAGATCTCCACCCGCCTGGCCGTTTTTTTTTTACAGGGTATTGCCAAACAACTGGCATGGCCATGTTAATACGCGGCTGCAAATACGTTAAGAGACACACTCTCGCACACACTCGCTTCCAAATATAATACCAATATAACCTGCACACGGGCTACTGCCATTCAGATATTCAGACAGAGCCACAGACAGAGACAGATGGAGGTGGAGGCGGAGGCGAAGGCAGTGACGGCGACAGCTCCACTTCGAGCAAGAAAAACCACTGAGGGCGATCGCTTGGCGCTCAGTTGCGCGTCGGTTACCACGTATAACGGTTCGCAATAAGCCCGGACAACCTGAACACTGTCTTTTTATCGCACTCGCCAAATAATCAGTCAGCGGGAGAGAAAAGTAAATACACACCTTCCGGAGAGCCTGCTCCATTAGCTGAAAAAACAAATAGATAGGAACAATCTTGATATTATCTAGGAACCAAAACATCTTATTTTAAAAGCGGTTTCAAAATGTTCCACTCTATTATCTAAACTTATTTCAAACTTGGAAATATCTTGATGGATTGGTATTTTGATAAGATGGCATAAAACTCTCAATTCAATATGTTTATGATATTTAGAAAAACTTGAAATCTAGTTTATTGCATGTGTTAAACAGGTTCAATATTTTAACATATATTTTCTATCTTTTGAAATAGTTGCTCACATTTTGTCTTTGAATTTTTTGCAGCTGGCGGTGCCACAGCAAAATCAACAAACGCAGCCAAACCTTCGCCAACAATGACGGACTACCTGTCGCTGCACTCGCGACTCGCCCAGGTGGGCCAGGAGCACCTGCTCAAGTTCTGGCCGGAGCTCTCAAATGACGAACGCGCCGAACTGGTGCGGGACATCGAGGAGCTGAATCTGGACGAGATCAAGATGTACTTCGACCGGGCCACGGTCTCAATGAACGAGAATGGCATTAAGCTGGACGATCGCCTGCAGCCGCTGCCCGAGGGCAAGCTGATCTCCATCGCCAGGGCGCCGTTGGAGAAGCTGGCCGCCTACCGGGATGAGGGTCTACGGCAGATCAGCAACGGACATGTCGCTGTGTTGCTAATGGCGGGCGGACAAGGTAAGATGACAATCCTCTATACAACTGGGAATTTTTTAAAAAGATGGGTAAAGGGATATCACAAAAATACACTTGTGTTTAATTAGTAAAATGTATTATAAAAGTATTTTATAGGGCTATTTGAGCGCAAAAGTGGGACAGACCTTTATAGATCAACCAGTCAGTTGGTAATCTTATATGACGCATGCGTATATTTGAGATAATCATGGGTTTAACTCTGCAAACATTGATAGCGAGGTACCTTTCATTTCGAGTAAATTAAAAATAAACTATTCTAGTATTAAGTAGATTTGTAAAAAAGCTAAAACATTAGGCGAATTTGTTAATTGCAGACATCAAACCTTAACGTTGCTGCTTATTTTCGAACTATTTCTTGTATTTTGGGCGCAGTATCAATCTGTTTTCAATGCTATTCCCATTGATACCTGAGATACTTATTTTTTATCATTCCGCAATCAGCCACCCACAAAAATATCGCATTGGTGTGCGGTAAACACAATGTAAACTGAGCTAAAGCGACAACTCCGACATTTGCAGACCAACAACGGCACGTTGCTCGAGTGAGTGTGCGTTTATAAAAGCTAATTAACTTGATATAAAAGTGCTCCATCGAGCTTACGAATACACGCAACCTCAATCAGCTGCCCACTCATGCAGCTGCATTGTAAGTGTTATTGTAATTGTAATTCCGTTTGCAAGACAAAAAATAACATAAAAATAAGAAACACGCCAGGCCAGCAGCAACAACTTCAAGCCATTCTTATAACCAGGCTTGCCTTTCTTTTTTTTATTATTGCTCGGCCAGTGATCTTTTGAGGGGGAATATTGAAATTGTGGGCGGCATTTGACATTTCCTTGCGCGATCCACGAGCAACTGACGGAGCGCAGTCCAATCACGTAATTGCCTTTTGGGAAATCAAGAAAACAAAGTCTTTGGCAGTTGGGGCAGGGCAATGAAACCAGCCCACTAGTAATATTATTTCTTGCACGTTCAACTACGAGAAGAGCAATAAATAGTAGACCCAGATAACAGTTGGATTCCCGAGAATTTTTGGTCAGGCGTGGAAGTTCCGTTTGGCGAACCGATAAGCAATATGTTGAATATGGTCGATAATTAAAAACCGGTAGTGGAACTGACCTTAAGCAAGCCGATCATAAATGTTAAGAGGTGGTGCAGACAAAAGGCAGTATAAAGAGCGAAACGATGGTCGAAAAATAAACTTGTTTATAAGGCCAACCGGGTGGGAAATCCAAAATGCTGCAGTTCTTGTTGTTATTGAATGATTGATGGATTCAGGGATGGGCTAATATTTATTATAAAAATTAATTTAGTTGATTAAGAAAAATGTATACATTTTAAACGACTCTATCAGCTCGAAACTAATGTATAGTTACCCTTTTCAGGCACACGACTTGGCTTCGACCATCCCAAGGGAATGTACGACGTGGGACTGCAGTCCCGGAAGACTCTGTTCCGCATTCAGGCCGAGCGGATTCTGAAGCTGGAAGAGCTGGCACAGGAGGCGAATGACAAGCGCGGTCACATCACCTGGTACATAATGACGTCGGAGCACACGGTGCAACCCACTTACGACTACTTTGTCGCCAACAACTTCTTCGGCCTGAAGGCGGAAAACGTGCTGCTGTTCGAGCAGGGATCGCTGCCGTGCTTCGAATACGATGGACGCATCATTCTGGACGAGAAGCACCGGGTGGCGCGAGCCCCGGACGGCAACGGAGGCATCTACAGGGCGATGAAGCGCCAGGGAATACTGGACGACATGCAGAAGCGGGGCGTTTTATATCTGCACGCCCACAGCGTGGACAACATCCTGATCAAGGTGGCCGATCCCGTGTTCATCGGCTACTGCGTGCAGGAGAAGGCCGAGTGCGCCGCCAAGGTGGTGGAAAAGGCGGCGCCCAACGAGGCTGTAGGCGTGGTGGCCATAGTCGATGGCAAGTACCAGGTGGTGGAGTACAGCGAGATCTCGGCCAAAACGGCCGAGATGCGCAACTCGGACGGCAGGCTGACCTTCAGTGCCGGGAACATATGCAATCATTTCTTCAGCTCGAACTTCCTGCAGAAGATCGGCAGCACATTCGAGCAGGAGCTGAAGCTGCACGTGGCCAAAAAGAAGATCCCCTTCGTCGACAACGCCGGCAAGCGGCTGACACCCGACAAGCCGAACGGCATCAAGATCGAAAAGTTTGTCTTCGATGTGTTCGAGTTCGCCCAGAAGTTCGTGGCCATGGAAGTTCCGCGCGACGAGGAGTTCAGCGCGCTGAAGAACGCCGATGTGGCTGGCAAGGATTGCCCCAGCACCGCCCGATCGGACCTCCATCGGCTGCACAAGAAGTATATCGAAAGCGCCGGCGGCATCGTGCACGGTGATGTCTGCGAGATCTCGCCGTTCGTCACGTACGCCGGGGAGAATCTCGCCTCGCAGGTTGAGGGCAAGTCGTTCACCAGTCCCGTCTACCTTCGGGACACCCGCGATCCGATGCACGGACACCTGTAAGCATAGACTGATGGACGGACGGTAGTAGTTGTTTCGGTTAATTGTACATTTTTCGTTTACCGTTTTTGAACGTCATGATTCCCAAACTATATAGTTAGCGCACGGAAATTCCATTGATTTCAGTACTTAAAGGAGACTTGTAAAAATTTGTTACCTATTGTGTCCGTTGTTTTTTTCGTTTTGGAAATAATTGTGCAATCGTAATGTGAATATATACAATATATAGAACATGTAATAATATGAATATTTTAATATGTTGTAAAATACAAAAATTATTAGTACGGCCATGTGACCCGATTTGTACTTCTTGGGCTATTAATACGTATGTATAGCATGTAAACAATAGGCCAATCCTTTGTGTGAACAGGTGTCGTTCTTTATTTACAATATTGTTGAATGGGCATTAGATAGATGGTATATTTGAACAATAGATACCCCACCTATTGCAATTGATAATTCCACTAGTTGCAAATGGACTAATAATATGAAAATTTGCGCTTTAAAACTAACTGGATCTAAAATGGAAAACTGTATTCATCTTGCTTTTCAAAGTTGTTTTTCCTCGGAGGCTTCATGGCAATTATATGTCTTCATTTCAATGTAAAAGAAAACATTTTAGATCACTATTGATTTTATACGCAAATCCAACTTGAAAAGCGTGTATAACTAATTTGAAATCTGGTTCATTGTTAAATCAAGATATTAAAAAAATCTAGCATAAACACCAGTTTCCAATATTTTATTTGTGCTGCGTTAAATCGACCAAATCATAATTTTCCCTTATTCAGACTGTGACATCATGTACATATATTATGATCGTTTACGCAACAGTATACCAATAGGGTGGGCTACAATCAGGGCGTGAATAATTATAGGGCCCTTCCCGCGATTCCAATAGAACTCGATACTCGTAGATTCAAACTTTGCGCCAAAGAACTCAGAAGGGCAGTCACACTTTTCCGGCCAACGGTAACACTTGGAGCGTGAACATTCGTGTCACATTTTTTCAAATACCAGCTGGTAATTTGTAACGGTTGTGCAACGGTCACGCTGGAACGAACTGGCTTCAAAATTTGGATGTTAATCAATAGCAACAATTAGATAATAAGTGAAATTATGCTTAGACAATTAACACGGTCAGTGGGCCTGACCTCGCGGCTGCTCAGGCGGGTCAACTATGCCACGAATTCTTCGACTGGCCAGTCACAAATTCCCGTAAACACGGCCCTGGAAAATGGGCGGTGGGCGGAAAAGCTCAAGGCCGCCGGAGTCGAGGACACGGAATTCAACGTAAAGTGCATTGTGTCGCATGTCCTGAAGAAAAAATTCGTAATGTTTCTGTCACAAAAGCGAAGCAATCATTCCAACTAACCGGTATTATTTTCCCCAGAATACTGTGCCGGACTCCTTCGATCAGCTGCAGTTCAATCCCGGCCAGCTGGCGGACTTTGAGCGCTTCCTGGAGGCCCGATGTGCCCGGATGCCGCTGCAGCACATCATCGGCGAGTGGGACTTCATGGACATCACCCTGAAGACGTCGCCCTCGGTCTTTATTCCACGCCCCGAAACGGAGGAGTTTATCCGCCTGGTGATCGAGGAGTACAAGGATGCGAAGCACGTCGACCTGCTGGAGGTGGGCTGCGGTTCGGGCGCCATGTCCTTGTCCATGCTGCACAGCCTGCCGCAGGTGGAGGCCACCGCCATCGAGAGGAGCAAAGCGGCCACCGTGCTAGCGGCGGAGAATGCCCAGATGCTGGGCCTGCTGGACCGCTTCAGGGTGCACAACCACACCATGGAGGAGGACAAGTATTTGCCGGAGGAGCTCAAGGATCAGAAGTACGACCTGATCATCTCCAATCCGCCGTACGTCAAAACGGAGGAGTTCCAGTTCCTCCATCCCGAGGTGGTTGTGTGAGTAGAGAGCCTCTTTAAACCATATCATTCAGTTCACTGACCCTCTTGTACCCCTAGTTATGAGAACCTCAATGCCCTGGACGGTGGCTCGGATGGCTTGAAGGTGGCCCGCCTGGTCTTCGAACTGGCCTGCCGGCACCTTCGTCCTGGCGGCAAGCTCTGGCTGGAGCTGGGAAACGACCATCCGCCGTTGGTCAAGACCATCATGAATCTGAAGTACGAGGGCCGCCTCAAGTTCATCGCCGGCTACAGTGACCAGTATAAGCGCGAGAGATTCGTCCAGATCGAGAAGGTCTAGGCGGTGTTACCACATCGACAGGACTGGATGATTTGACTTAGACAATGCAATTAGCTATTACGATGCCCATGCATTTAGCTGTGATTTGATTTATGATTTATGACCACAAAACCTGCACGCTGCCCAGAGACTCACACAGTATATATATTGAATATATATCGCTATTTAACCTAAAGTATTGGTGTTTTAATATTTTTGTACTACTGCTGCAAAGGCTTTATAGTTTTGTATTTGAAGCCTGCAGATTTCATAATGAGAACATAGATAGACCATTTTGACTTGGATAACGCAATTAATTTATTACAATTTATCTTGATATATGATTATTGAACTGCTACTTTGTGTCTAACAGCATTGACTTTTATGCTGATCAGGTTATACAGATGGTAAAGGTCTTAGCTGGATACTTTATAGATAACCCCCTATGATTACGATAGTTCTATGATGATATAGAATTGGAATACCTCTACATTTGGTCATAACAATTATATTTATATTGGTGTTTTAATCTTGTTGTAATATCGCTGCAAAGACTTTATACCGAATCTATAGCTATCAATCCTTTAGTTTACGAAAAGTATTTACTCCATAGATAGACCATTTTGACTTGGATAATGCAATTAATTTATTACAATTTATCTTGACTTATGATTATTGAACTGCTACTTTGTGTCCGACAGCATTGACTTTTATGCTGATCAGATTATACATATGGTAAAGGTTTTAGCTGGATACTTTATAGATAAGCCCATATGATTTGGAAAGTTCTATGACTATATTGAATTGGAATACCTCTTTATTTATTATTCTTGTTGTAATATCGCTGCAAAGGCTTTATTACGATTATTTAGCTATCAATCCTTTAGTTTAAATCGAAAAGTTTTTACTCCATAGATAGACCATTTTGACTTGGATAACGCAATTAATTTATTACAATTTATCTTAATTTATGATTATTGAATTGTGATTATTGAATTGTGATTATTGATTGTGTCCAACAGCATTGACTTTTATGCTGATCAGATATACAGATAGAAAAGCCCATATGATTTGGATAGTTCTATGATGATATAGAATTGAAATACCTCTACATTTGGTAATAGCAATGATATTTATATTGGTGTTTTAATCTTGTTGTAATATCGCTGCAAAGTCTTAATACCGATTATATAGCTATCAATCCTTTAGTTTAGATCGAAAAGGTTTTACTTCATAGATAGACCATTATGACTTGGATAACGCAATTAATTTATTACAATTTATCTTGATAAATGATTATTGAACTGCTACTTTGTGTCTAACAGCATTGACTTTTATGCTGATCAGATTATACAGTTGGTAAAGGCCTTAGCTGGATACTTTATAGATAAGCCTATATGATTTGGATAATTCTATGACGATATAGAATTGGAATACCTCTACATTTGGTCATAACAATTATATTTTACCGTCTTACAGAATTCCCAAATTATGAAAGTGAGTGCTAAACCCTATATCGTTATTATGATTTGGATCTCTTTCTTTTTATAACACAGCCAGTGGTGCTGTTCTGATTGTTTAGATAGAGGTGAATTGGACTATGCTATTAGGATTTTAACTATGGTATCCTTATGATATTAGTTAACCCGAAGTCCGACCCCATATGCATATAGCACTAGTATTCCTTAGTTCTCGTACCGTATCTGAAGTAACAGCCCCGCTGAATCGCTGGCCGAGAAAGCTTTCGGCTGCGGAGCGGAAGAAAGCTTCGGCAGACTGGCTGGCAGCAACAAGTGGAATCCACTCCGCTCAGTCAGTTGGAAATCGAAGCTCGCGCCGCACGAATCGAACCAGCGGAATCCGGGTCCGCGACTTAAACGCGGATTTTGATTTGTCGCCGTTGTCGTGGCTCTTTAATTCAATTGTCGATTCCGAGCTGCGGCTGGTGTGCGTTGTTTCACTCTCAAGTATTCACTTCATTGCTAATAAATTATAATTAACGAATGGGCGAAATTATAATTAAAGGCTAAATTTCAACGAAAATCACAATGAGCAGATAATAAAGCTAGAGCTAAAGCCAAAGAAGATGAGAGCCAGTCGCGAGGCAAACAAAATAAACCCAAAAAGTGCAAAAACAAAACAAAATCAAAAACACGTTAAACAAGAAATTGGTTTAAAAAACCTATATAAATTTAAGTTTATATGTATGGTAAATGAATGAATGTCGGTGCGTGCGAATGAACGTATGTACATATGTACTACAGCCAAACTTCAGATCGAAGGCGGTTTGGATTTGGATTGGAAACTTTTAGAAACCGATTACACAGATCGTGACATTATTTAATGCATCTGTGAGCGAGTGCGTGCGTGCGTAAACATGAATGTTCAATAATTGAATACCGAATCAAGTTTCGAATGGGCTGCGTTCTTTTCGACGACTGGTTTTCCATTCCGCTGAGGCTGCTGCTGCTTTTATCGCCTTACGTTTGTAATTTTAGCACACTTTCAATATTTATTGTCGGTTTCTGCTTCGGCAACGATTTTTCTGCTCGCCGCGCTAAGCAAATACCTGAGAATAACCGCGGTAGGCAAACGAAACCGAAAGCTCATCTGCTGTTGCCATTACCGTACATAAATTTCTGGTAGTTGCTCCTTCGACGGCATCTATGTGCAGCAGCAACGTGCAACACAGCTAACTGCAACCTGCAATGCCATGTCAACGACGGCAGCAACAACCACTGAGCGAAAGTTTTGCCAAGTCGCACGCCGGTTATGTTAACAAGTGTGGGTTGTTGTTTTTCCCCTGCTTTTTCATTCATCATCCGCACTGTGTGTCAAGGCACTGCGAATCCGATTCCGAGTGCGAATTTGTAAAGCTGTGAACGTCTTTCTTGCGACACATTGACCTGCAGGCTAAGCAAGCGATTTAAATGCTCCCGCTCACATGGCACAAGGCCCCATCGAAACACAGTTGCGGCCAAAATGGTAGCTCCAAAATAGTTAGATTTTATTCCAAGAAAAAAAAAAACATTTCAAAATTAATCTTTTGACTAATTGATTGGATCATTCTAAGTAAATATAATATTAGGAACCTTACCTGATCGAAAATAAAAATTAGGAAAAATATCAACGATATAAGTATGATTGCAAAATTTGATACTTTTATTCCATTTAAGCTCACAGTTATTTACAATGAATTTTAAATTATTATTTTTTCCCATATTTTTAAATTACTATTTTTTTCAAGAATAAATAAAAAAGATCTTAAAACAATATAAAGTATTCTTAATGCTTATTAATTGTTTGCCACTGTACATACAACCGTACAAGTACAGTGCGAGACGCCGAAGAAAACTGGCTGAAAATCAAGATAGTAGTTATCTACTTTAGATGGCCTTTCGCAGGCGGGGACTGGGAAACATTGAAATGCAAATACGCTGCCTTGGTAGTTTAGTTGTGTCAAACATTGTGGGGGGATAACCCGGTCTACTGATCGATCGGTGTATAAACAATGGCCTGCAATCCGTACTCACCTCTTTCCCACACTTTTTAATCGCTTCCAGCCCAGTGTCACACCTGTGCGAGTTTCGGCAGCCGAAAATTCGACAACGACAGTCTATGAATACACAAGGAAATGTTGCATAAATGAAAGTTAGTTAGAAAAGAGAGTTCCAGCCGGGTTGTCGGATTTACCATATATACTATACTCACGTCGACGGGGCGGATACAAAGTCTACATGTGTCACAACAGCAACATCGGCAAATAATTTAAATGCTACGCGGCAATTGAAGAGGCAACAATTAACCAAGACCACTGCAACTTAGAGGAATAGTGGAAAATCACTTATATATACGTATATCTATATATAAAGATATTTAGCTCCTGCAACAAAATGAAGAATCGTCAGCGGGCGCGCCGAATATCGCTAAATGAAAACCACAACAAATACTTGGGCAGCAGCGGCAGCATCGATGTACAAATATTTACCAATACAAAAGAACCCAATCAAGTCAATTTAAATTCATCGTCAAAGCTGCTGGCGACTACAGTAACGACGACCTCAGCGGAGGCTGCTCTTCCCGCTTCGCTTCCAGTTGCTCAGATAGCACAGCAGCGACATCTACATGCACAGCAGCAACATCAGCGTCTACAGCAGCAGCAGCAACAGCAACAGCAGCAACAACAGCTGATTAAGCCGCCTACAACGATGATGGGCAAATATTTTCCACCGCACGCAAAACTGAGAAAATGCAAATCGACACCGAGTCTCAATTTCGATGGCATGGAGCCCATGGAGGAGGATCCCCACTGTCATCGCATTTCCCCATTTCCACGGAACACCGCCTCGGAGGCTAAACAAACGCAGCAACATGAACAATTATCACGCATCACCAGCAGCGACGACAGCTGTAACAGCAACATCGGCAACAGCAACAACATCAACAGCAACAAGTGCAACAGCAATGCGACGCCAACAACACCGGAGTCATTGCGCTTTGGCTGCGCTCACTACAAGCGACGGGCCATGTTTGTGGTAAGTGCAATAAGTAGTCAATATACATTGATATCAGCTCTAAAGAGCTATAGGTTCTGCGGAAGTTAGCGAATCGTCTACTGAGCACTGAATGAAAGCAAAAGTTGCAGTGCACTGCAGGAAAAAGCTCGCATAGCAATGCACTTGATCTTGAATTTATATTTTATTTAGTGCAGCTCATCAATTGAAACTATAAATGGGGCCATATAATGGTCTTTATACACTCAAAAAAAATTGATTTACCAATTCAAATAGTTTCGTAACTGTACAAAATAGTTAGGTACTATACAAAATATGACCGTGTTTTGTTGTTTCTTGTTTTAGTTTAAATGTTATAGGAAAAAACTATAAAATTGTAAGTTCTTGTTTTTATTTTGCTGTCAGAAAAACTATTTTATGGGTCAAATTGACAATTTGATGGTTGAAAACCACTATTCTATTCTATTGGTAAATTTAACAAGTTCATTTTTTCGCAAATTCATGATATTTCAAATTTTAAAAATGGCAGATCAAATATTAAAATTTTTTGATAATTGCGTATATTCTTGGAGTGCTGAGAAAAAGTCTTTAATGTCTTATTTGACGAAAAGATATAACTGCATTCATTTTATGCAATCCCCTATATACTTTTTCAATTAATACAAATTAAAGAAAATGTCTA